GGGGGGGGGGGGTTACATCAGCCAAAACATTAGGATGAACGCTGCGTAACAGTCTCCACTCTTATTCTAATATGATTATTAATATTAGGCTTATGCACTGAAAACAGTTTGCGGCATTTTGAGCGCGTTATAGCCCCGATGGCGCACACACACAGGTACGGATACACCCCCGCACCTTTAGCCTGCAACCCCCCCCCCCCACCCCCCCCCCCCCCCCCCCACACACCCGCCCCCCCCCCCCCCCCCCCCCCCAAACTACATGCCTTGTTCGTTGCAACTTAACGAACCTATAATGAAGGATGCTGTCCAAATGGCACAGAGAGCCTCGTGGTGCCGAAGCATTGCGCAGCGTTTTTTATTCCCTGATGAGGCTAAAACCATCCCTCACTAAACCTCTTGTTCAACTTTTATGTATTTGTGTATCTTTGTCAGGGATGCAGACCAACAGAGCGTTTTCAAATGTGTGTAAGAAGGAGATGGAAAAAAAAAAAAAAAAAGAGAGGCAGGAACAAAAAAAAAAAAGTAGCCATTTTGTTTCATTCCCAACAAACACCTGTTGAAATGATTGCACGCTCACATCCTGCAGTGGATGGAGGCAGCGGGCTCCGTTTGCTCTGAGAGAATCGTTCGGAAATCTGTTGAAAATTGATTAGTCCCCCACCCCCACCCCATCCCACCACCATCACACACACACCCTTCCTCCAGTGCATCACAGCTGTGAATGTGGACCCCCATCCTCATGCTGCATCATGGCTCCAACACAAACTGGTCTGGACCTGAAAGTATAATGGAAGGTTTTAAGCTGCTGTAAAAGCACTTTTGGGGAAGGATTTGTAGTGGTGGTGGTGGTGGTGGGGTGGGGGGGGGGGGTCATCAGAGTGCAGACATGACTGAGCATCACCTTGTCGAGCAAACGGATGGACAGATGTTGGATCTGATTGCGCTCATATGTGTGTAAGACTGGTGGGTTCTGCCTCCCCCACCCCCCCCAAACCCCTTCCTTTCCATTTTCTTTTCCTCCTTTCAAAGACCCCTTTCACTCACACGCACAGACAGAGCTGCATTGCTATTCTGAGAGAGTTAGCTGTCTCAACCCACGCACAGAATCTGAGAAAGAGAGAGAAAGGCAAGAACGAGGAAAGAAAAAGAGGAGAAGGAAGGACGGAGGGAGGAATGAAAGACTTCATACATGCAGGTTTACAGCACTGCATCTCTGTCGTGCAAAAAAAACAACAAAAAAAAACAGTTTCAAATGTGTCTTTGGACTGTTCTGCTGATGCACAGTTCTGATTAGCACTGTTGGCGTGCGCTGCAACTGCAGATCTGTTTGTGTGATGTGCCGTGTTGTTCTGGTAAGTGCTGGGAGAAATGTACTTGATTCTGTGCCACCCACACACCGCCCTCCCACTCATGGTCGCCTCTCTGCATCTATACCTCTGGCTCTTCCCGCTTCGACACACAATTTTTAAATTTTTTTTATTTTTTTTTACTCATTTAAATCCCTACCCTGCATTTATCCCTCTGCACTCTCTCTATATCATCACTGGCTTTTCAGGGAGAGCGTTCCTCCTGCACACCAAACAGGCGCATTAATAAGAACAACAACTGCTCACATCTGCGCCCTTAATAATAATTAAAAAAAAGAGGTTTTTTTTTAAACAAAATCTAATCTAACGCTTGTTGTCTGTGCCACAGATTGTCGACGTGTTTCCTGGACACGGTTCTGGAAATCGTGGAGAGAAATTTGCTTCATGAACATTTAGTCAGCGGAGAAAAACTGCTGCTTTTTAAAAAATTTTTTTTTTTTTTGCTTTCCCACCACTGAACCCTCCTCAGAAGGTTAGAGAAGCACATAACTGAAACAAGTGGAGCCTTCTCATTCTGCACCCCCCACCCCCCCACCCTCCTTCCCCATCTGTGCCTACATTCCCTGCTACAGATAGGGACGTTTTGATAATTACATGTAATTATAATTTCTGTGGGAGACAGATCTGCCTCTGTCTATTATTGCCAACACCTCCAGCACAATAACTTCACACATTTACATATTTCTCAACAAAAGTGATATTCTTTGAACCCCCCCACCGGAGATAAAACAGGAATAATTTTACTCAGAGAGACATGTCACATGCAAAAGCAATGTGCCATCCAGCTCATATCTAATTAGATAATTCAGCTGAGTGACACAGGCAACATTTTGTGCCCGAGAGCTGACCCAAAAACAACAAAAAAAAACATGGCGTTTGCCTCATTTTGTGGAGCGTTTTACAGGCTGGGAGTCATCTTTTTGGTTCAAGCGTTCTGCTAATTTTTCTGTTGTTACAGCTTTGTAGCGCACGAGCAGAACCATTCTCATTATCACCCACAGCCCAGTCACAGTAACGGCCTGTGCCAGGAGAGTACGGAGCAAACTGATCCTCGCATCGAGATAATGATGTACCACTAGAAGTGACGAGGGCCCGAAGCAAATCAAAACGAAGACAATGCCCTCCTGGATAGATTAGGATCTCTTTAATTGCCAGTAATGATCAGTGGCACACATCCTCAGTTCAGATATATTGCTTGAAATGCTTAAAAGCGTCAAATTATAAAAATAAAAAAAAAATACAGACTTCACGCGCGTTTTTTTCTTTTAAAACAAGCATGTATAGAATAAATACGTGCCCGTTCTGAATGTAAACAGTGCCAGACTGAAAAATCTGCCAGGAATGACAAAACCAAACTGGTCATTGATTCATTTTTCAAGTGCCGCGATCATCAGAGGAATGTACAGGAACGCTGTTTTTTTACTGAACTAATTTGCCTCCGTATACCATTAAACCCAATAGGCACATATATATAAAGGTTTAGCGTTTGGCCTTTTTACTTTTTAATGTCCGTGACCTGTTTTTACAATTTAGACCATATAGGTACGAAAAAAAACCCCGAAATGTTAAAGATAAAAGAAAACCTAAAAACCAGACTTCAGGTTTTGTCATCCGGCGTTGCTGAATGAAGTTAGTGATCCATCGTCCCTGTCTGGAACACGCTCCACGATCACTTCACATGACATCTTAGTGGGTTAAACTGCAAAAGCGGATAAAGCGTTGTAACAGCATTGACTCAACGACAGAAAATAGATGTCTTAGTCATGTAAAAATGACGCCCACCACCAATCTCCGAGTCCTTGCCATCTCCCTGCTCTCCCTCTTCACTGCCCCACTTACCGCTGCTGTGAAGACCCCTTCGTACCCCCCTCCTCAGCACACAGACCGCTCAGGGCTCACCGAGCACCCCGAGGCCGACTCCAGTACCCCCCTGCTGCTGCGTGCCATCCAGGCCGATGCCAGGCCAGCTGCTCTCCGAGGCAGACCCAAACCCTCCGAGAAGCTTCCAGAAATCTCAGAGGGAGTTCTCGAGACGCCGCCGAGACCCCTGCCGCAGGTCATGTTCCCCAAGAACACGACCGCAACGGAGTCGGTCACAACCCGTTTCAGAGCGGCCCAGGTGCCGCCCGTTATGGAAGGCTGGCCGGACGTATGTTGGGGTTACTACGACGTGATGGGACAGTTTGACAACGCCTTCAACTGCTCCAAGGACACCTTCATCTACTGCTGTGGAACGTGCCACTACCGCTTCTGCTGCCCGGAGCGAAGCCGCAAGCTGGAGCAGGAGAACTGCAAAAACTACAACTCCCCAGACTGGGCCAAACCGCAGACAGACGCCATGATAATACCAGAGGAGTTGGGCAACGACCCGGACTTTGATCCACTGAAGCAGCAGAGCCACAACACGGGCTTCGTCATCGGTGGGGTCGTCGTGTTCATGGTGGCTGTAGCTGTGGGCATCAAGGTGGTCTTCAACAAGGTGCAACAGGAAGCCAACCAGCGGGACTTGAATATGCCCAGGTGAGATAATTTCTGGCTTGTGGACTTGTCGCCTGATTCTTTCTTTGAATTGTGCATTGCATTTGTATTGAGAACTCAGTTCTGGGTTTAGATTAAATTATTAGCTATCACCTGGAACATGTAGCAGCTGGAGAGCTAGAGGATGATTTCATCCCTCTTTGATGTTTCTTCTGTGTCCTGAAGTCTTTGCATATAGACTGACAACATTTAACCCATTTATTGTCTGCATGTCCAGACTGATGAAGTCTTTTGGATTAAAGACGAAACGTTTCAACAAATTATTATTATTTTTTTTAATCTGTCCAGAAGACCTGACTGAACTTTTTTGGATTTTTCTTCCAGGATTATTGAGCATGCATCAGGACACACTGCACAGTGCATTTTATTTTTTTTTATTTTTATAGATTACAAACAATTTCAAATATTTGGAATTGTGCACCAAAGTCCATGCTCAATAATCCAGGTATAAAATCCAACAAGTTTCAGTCAGGTCATCTGGACGATTTCTTTTTTTGTGCTGAGACGTTTCGCCCTCCATCCAGAAGGCTTCATCAGTCTGAGGAAACACCAACCAAATCTGTTTCTCCCCCTCCATCTGGATGGAGGGTGAAAAGTCTCAGCACAAAAAAATAAACCGTCCAGATGACCTGACTGAAACTTGTTGGATTTTATACCTGGATTATTGAGCATGGATTTTGGTGCTTGGAACCAGTTTGACATGACTGTTGACGAGGGAGAGGGCAGACACCAGAGGAGAAGGCGTGCCCCAGAGGCCATCTTAGCACCAACATAACAGTTTTTTCCCACTTTGGAATAATCTGTTGGGGGAGACACAGTTTTGTGTGGTGTTTCGTCAGCCTGATGAAGCCTTCTGGATGGAGGGCGAAACATCTCAGCACAAAAAAAAGGAAACCGTCCAGATGAGCTGACTGAACATTGTTGGATTTGGACTTGTGGTTCTGTAAAATGAGAACAAATGGGTTAAATGTTGTAGATAGCTTTTTGTATAAATTCAGTTTGGAGAAATAGTTTAGCTCTGATTGGACTAAGAAGCTAACGGCTAATCTGAGTGTTGCTAAAACCAAAGTGGATTGCAGCCGTCTTAAAACAACTCCAATCTCAACGATGTCATAACAGCACTTAGAAATGCTTTTATATAAACTTTCATCAGCATCAGCATTACACAATCATTCACATAGAAATGTATGGTTATTTATGAACACAAACAGTGGGGGGGGGGGGGGGGGGGGGGAGATGGTTAGCTGTAGCACTTCCAGTGCATCTCGGGCCACTTCCTGCAGGAATATCATAATATATTTGACAGAAAAATCGCATAATTCAAAACAGACAGCAATGTAATTTTATTTTGGCATGAATCGCTTTGAATAATAAAAAGAAGAAGTTATTTTGAGATGCCAGCATTGATTTTGGGCTTGGCTTGCTCAAACTAGCTGTTAGCTCGTTAGCCTGCCAAACTACATTTCTCTAAAATGTGACCATTTAAAAATCTATCTATAAGGAGTAATATATTAATTGTTTAGAACATCTACAGAACCCATTTTGAAAAGATCTCAACAATTCCTTTAAATCTAAAAAAGTTCAATCTGGTCCTCTGGACATTCAAAAAAAACAAAACAAAGCAAATCGACAAAAAAATGTAGAAACGTTTCGTCTCTCATCCGCGGTTGCACCAAGTAGAATTCCTCTGGTGGAGATGATCACAGCTACTGAGTCAGCCATCCGCAACAACAAAATTAAAGAGGCTGAAGCAGAACAGCTCAGAATCAAAGTTTCATCCTGCCTCAGCAATGCCAAACCACCACCTTCCAACATCAGTAGAGAGGAGAGGGACGCACTCACCACTCTCAGCAAGGACAAAAACATCATCATTCTCCCAGCAGACAAAGGAAGGTGCACAGTGATTTTGAACCAGAAAGACTATCATGAGAAAGTTATGACACTCCTTAGTGACTTAAACACTTATGAACCTCTGAAAAGAGATCCAGGAAGTGGTTACAAGAAGAAATTAATAGATTGCCTGAAAATTTTGGAGCAGGACAAGGCTATTGACCGTTTTCTGTACCACAGACTGTACCCAGGGGAGGCCACACCTAGTCTGTATGGTTTACCTAAAATCCACAAACAAGGTGTACCTTTAAGACCAATCGTTAGCATGATTAACTCTGTCACTTACAATGTTTCCAAATATCTGGCGTCTGTACTCATCCCTTTAGTTGGCAGCTCAGAACACCACATACAGAACACCATGGACTTTGTGGATAAGGTGAGGGATGTCATCATGGAGACTGATGAAACAATGGTCTCTTTTGATGTCACATCACTCTTTACGTGCATTCCTGTTGATGATGCAGTAGAGGTGGTCAGTTTAAGATTAAAATCAGACACCACTCTGAGCAGCAGGACCACGCTTTCCACAGAACAACTGTGTCAACTCTTGAAACTGTGCCTGCAGTCAACCTACTTCACATATGGGGAGCAATATTATAGGCAGAAACATGGGTGTGCTATGGGGTCTCCAGTTTCTCCTATTGTTGCCAACCTGTACATGGAAGAGGTAGAAAAGAGAGCCTTGACGTCCTTTTCAGGGACACCACCAAGTCATTGGTTCAGGTATGTTGATGACACCTGGGTTAAAATTAAATCTCAGGAAGTCCAACATTTTACTGACCACATCAACTCTGTGGATAAATACATCAAGTTCACACGAGAAGATGTAAAAAATAGCAGGTTGGCTTTCTTGGACTGTGAGGTCTCAGTCTCTGATAGAGGACATTTGCAAACTGAGGTGTACCGCAAACCCACTCACACAGACCAGTATTTGCAGTTTGACTCCCATCACCCTTTGGAGCACAAGTTAGGAGTCATCAGGACTCTGTATCACAGAGCAGACAGCGTCCCCACTAGCTCAGGAGCCAGGCAGAAGGAGAAATCCCACACAAGACAGGCTCTAGAGCAATGTGGATATTCTAACTGGGCCTTCCTGAAAGCAGAGAAGAAACCCAAACAGGACTCCAGTCAGCCATCAGGTGAAAAGGAGGAACCCAGACCAGTGGTCATTCCATATGTTGAGGGAGTATCAGAGAAACTGAGACGTTTATTTTCTAAACATAACGTCCCAGTGGCTTTTAAACCCCAAAATACATTACGGCAAAGACTGGTTCATCCCAAAGATCCAGTCCCCCGGCACAAACAGAGTAATGTTGTGTATGCTGTTCAGTGTCAGGAGGGCTGTGATCAGTCTTACATCGGGGAAACTAAACAGCCACTGGCCAAAAGGATGGCCCAGCACAGAAGATCAACATCATCAGGCCAGGACTCTGCGGTCTACACTCATCTCCAGGCCAGCGGTCACTCTTTCAGGGATGAAGATGTTCACATCCTGGACAGAGAGGAATGATGGTTTGAGAGAGGAGTAAAGGAGGCCATCTTTGTGAAAAGAAATCGTCCATCATTAAACAGGGGTGGAGGCCTCCGGGTTCAACTGTCCCCCTCTTACAATGCTGTGATTGCTAGTATCACTCAGCCCTCTGTGAATAGTAAACAGCCATCAGTGTGCTAATGATCCATTGTTAGGCTGATGGTCCTTCTTGAGCATGTGATCAGCTGGTTTTGGTTGTCAGCAGCAAAACTGGTTGATCCACTCTGAGAAGGTGCTATTTAAGAGACTGAGCTGAATACAGCACCTCAGACTGAGGAAGTCTCTTGGATGAGAGACAAAACGTTTCTACATTTTTTTGTTGATTTGCTTTGTTTTGTTTTTTTGAATGTCCAGAGGACCAGATTTAACTTTTTTAGATTTTTCTACCTGGATTATTGAGCATGCATCAGGAAATTCCTTTAAATATTGGTAATATGTTTTACCGTGATTGGATTATTTTCTGAACATAATTGTTGCACAAGTTTGTTTTCATTTCTGTTTTAAGGATTCAGTTTAGAGCTTAGAGTAAAATTAATGACTGTCACCTGCAGCTTATTTGATCCTCTTAATTATTAGGTGGTTGTTGATGGTGGGCTCATCCTAAGACTATTTATTTTTCACATAACTCTAATTAAAACCACAGTCTTTTCTCCAGCACAGCATTATATGGTTTGGCACATCACCTCAGAGTGAACTGAACCTGTGGAAGGAGTTTGTTGTGGTCGGTTGAGATTTATTGCATATCCCAACTCTTGTTTCCTTTGTGTTTGTCATGCTGTTAGAGCCCTGGTTGACATGTTGCGGCACCAGTCCAGCCCAGTCCAGCAGGATGAAAGAAACAACAGCGTGGCTCTGACCGTAGGGGACGGAACAGGGACTATAGGAAGAGCTCCCAAAAACCTCTACGCCCCAGGAGTGCCCAACAAAGACAACAGATGTGAGAGTCTTTTATATTTTCAGTATAATACCACACTCAGAGATTTTGAAAAAGAAAAGGGACATTTTGCTTCTCACACCTGTTTATAGATTCCGTTATTTTTTTTCTTCTTCTGAGACATGTTGTAATGAGAGGAGGGACAAATATCCCCAGTGGTGGTGTGCCTAAAATGAGATTTTTCTGTACTAGTAAAAATCACTCAAAAAAGAGAAAAAGATTCTCCCAAGTTTATGTGGTTTCATTGCGAAATTAAAACATTGAAATGAGCACACGTTTGGAGATTTTTGACGATTGCATACAGGTGTGCAAGCCTATTGTTGTTAATGTTTAAACTCTGTTCGCCGTCCGAGCTGCCTGACATCCATTTTGTGGGCTGATTACCTTCTTTTTCTTTGACTTACAGTGGGCAATTTGCAACACAATTTCATCCACTCGTCAGGCTCCAGCCCCAAGCACACTGCAACCATCGGTAAGGCAGCTGCTGAAATCAGGGCTTCCATGTAAATTACATGTAATCATGTAGATTCTTCATTTACTTCATTCACCTACATTTTAAGCTGAAAAGTAGGCTCATTTACTGGAACAATAATAATAATTATCATAGCTCCGGTTGCTTGTGCAAGCGCTGAAAAGTGAGTTGAAATTAGTCTCCTTTCCAGTGAATGTTAGCAGTTTCACACCCTGCTACGTGTATCTATCCAGAGGAGCAAATCTCATTTAACACGCCGTCGTTTTCTCCCTGTGGTCTATGCAGAACGCACCCCCCGGATGAACAATGCTCAGCTGGCAGCTGGAGGCACCCTGCTCTCCAGTAAACACAACAACACCAAATCCCAGCCTTCCTTCCACCATTCCCTGCACAACCTGGCCCAGCTGCCGCCTTCCTACGAGAGCGCCACCAAGCCTGAGCTCAACAGATACTCTTCGCTCAAACGCCTCGGTAAGTGCCCTGCTTGTCTGCAAATGAGACACCTTGTCACTGCCCTTAGAGTGCTGTTCCTGTAACTGCTTCATAAGCGCTGGAGAGTGGCATTTGATGGTAAAACGCAGAATGCATCATTATGTGTGTTTTTTTTTGCTGTGCCATTGTAAACAAATTAAGGAAATGTTGTTTGGCTTTCAGAGAAAGGTCTCGATGAGTACTCGTCTGGTTACTGCACCACCAAGCGCCGACCTCACACAGCCCAGCCGGCACTCCAGTCCTCTCAGCACCACCTCCACTGGGGTGGAGACTACACCCTCAGTGGCAGAGGCACCCTTCCTAGGCATGCGGTCCGTCCCTGGATCCCTCCGCCGCCCTCGGGCATGCCCATCTCTCCCATGCCTGCCTCTCCCACTCCTAATCCGTATCCTCTGGACCCTCCAGAACCGCAGTTCAATCCCAACTATGACACCCTCTCCAAGCCGCCGAGAAAAGTTAAGTCCACGGACCAACTGCTCAACATGGGTGATGTCCCAGGCAACACTGGGACTCTGTCCCGGCTGTCCAAGAACCAACAGCACCAGTACTACAAAGCGATGGCTGCTTCCAACAAGAATTCCAACACACAAACCCTGACCAGGAAGACACAGGACAGGCAGGAGAGACAGGAGAGGCAGGAAAGGCTGCTCATGTCCCCAGACCATTTGGAGGAGAGGATGGGGGTCGGTGGGATTGGGGTTGGCGGAATGGGTGTCGTAGACCCCTACGTCCACACAGGAGGTGGCGTCCCCACGCTGCCTCGCCAGCAGAAGGCCCAGTCCCAGCAGAACGTGTGCGCCACGCCCTCCCTCGACCGGCACCACATGATCAAGATGAACTCTCACCCCACATCCGGACGAGAGCAGGAGAGGAACACGACCGGGACCGGTCATGTGAGCGGGAGCGGCATGGGCTGGTCGGCGGGGGAGATGCCCGGAGCGGGGGTTGTTATGGGAACGGGAACGCTAGGAGGCCACAGCGCCAGGAGGATGGCTTTTGCAGCAAAAAGGCAGAACACCATCGAGCAGCTACATTTCATACCGGGAGGGGGTGGTGGGGGGTCAGCAGGAAGTGCAGGTGGCAGCCAGGGAATCAGGACAGGGAGTAAAAACGAGGTGACGGTGTAGGATCTGTGCCTAGTGTTGAGAGTAGTCCTTAGATGTTTGGGAGTAGATCCCCTTCTACATTTAACTATTAGATTCAACAAGAACTAAAACTAGAAACAGTACAGTAGTAACAGTATCACGTGTTTAGGCTATTGAGATTAGTTTTACTCTTGTAATGAAATTAGCTTGATTATGACTGCTTATAAATTTAAAGATCTGGATGGGGAAACCCGTTTCCCTTTTTGTGATAGTCTACATCAGCCATATTTTGTAACAGAGTTTGCCATATTGCCATAAACAGCAGTGCCATTACTTGTAGAGGGACAGATAGGATAGGTGTAAGAAAATAAAACAGATGGTCATAGCTTAGTTTTTATATGTTTTTCAAAAAAAAAAGTACTCAGGAGCCATATTAGATAGGGAACCAGACAATATAACAAAGATGCGATGAAGCAGAGGACGACGCGGATTACTTTGTTGCAAAGTTTCAGAAAGCAGAGCCAACTAGCCGGACTTGTAGGGATTTGCTGAACTGGTGGATCTAAACGCTCGGTGGACCAGATGGGTCTCAAAGACCATTGTGCCTGGTGAATTTATTTATTTTATATTTTCTTTTGGAGATTTTACTTTCTGCTGAACAAACCTCGTCCCGGCGCAGGGAGACTGAACTCGTTCCTTGATATGTAACTGCGTGGAGAAGGTGGAGGCTTTTTCAGCAGCTTTCCGTCTTATTTAAACTGCAGCCGTACCTACATTAACAATCCAATTGCCTGGGTTGCCTAGATTTCCATGTGACCTTAGATTAAACCACCAGAAGAGACTCACACTCTGATCACTGTTACACAACAGGAAGCTGATATGTAAACTCATATTAGATCACATAAGTGGGGTGAGGTTTCCCCAATGCTCTCATTTACAGATCAGGTCCTACCTGTATGAGCAGTGGCTTACCAAATAAAAACAAAGTTTTTAAAAAGAGCCATCGGTGGTGATGTTACACAACAATGATCACACAAACCTACAGAATCCAGAGATTAAAGAGCAGCATTTCTTCAGTTTACCTACATAGAGGCAACGCTGCGATCTAGGTTACATGTGAAGAGCACAACAAGGTTGCACTTACACAGAACTGTCCTTCAAAGCCATTTATGGAGATACAAAGGAAATGCCACCCTGGAAGCTGGTCTGACAATCACCACCTAATTACTATGGCCAGGTGACACGTTACACAAGTCAGTGATGTTTTTTTTTACAGTCAAAGGATTGGTTTCAAAAGTAAGCCAAAGACCTCAGTCAGGCGCGATGGCGACCTGAGGTGTTGCGAGAGACTCGGATGGTTAGGAAGCCCTTCCCATCTTCAAGACAAAGACCTTGCTGTATCATAATGCACTTCAGCCAATATAAAATAAAATTATACATATATATATATATATATATATATATATATATATATATATATATATAATTGAAAAGAAAAAAATCTTCATCAATAACAACGCTTATCAATACTAAGGGCTATCCTATCCTATATACTGTAGTATGTGATATCTGTGGTCCATATAAAATGCTATCTCTTTCTATTGATTTTGTGTTGATATTGTCATGACGTATTAAGTATTAACGTGTACAAAATAAAAGAAATAAATAAATAAAGCGAGCAATTTAAGCACAGTTCAAAGAGAAACACAGAGACAAAACTTTGCACAAATCAGTCCCCTGATATTTGCACCAGACGCGCTCGAGGTTTACATTCTGCACGATCGCGGCCAAACGTTCGACTGATCGATCCAATGGAAGGTATTGCATTGAGCGAGGGATTTTTAAAATGTTCTTTTTTTGTTTGTTTGTTTTGTTCACAAAATCAGAGGTATTCTCGCGGGTTGAGGAAGGAACTGTTTGGCTTTTGTTCGATCTTGAGACAGGATAAAGAGACGGAAAGCTGACGAACAGAAACACCGATTACATTCGGACAATCTTCCTATACACAGTGCTAAATGTAGTTGTTATAAATTTGATGGAGTGTTATGATTAATAATTATTATAACTGTTATGGTTATTATTAACAATTATCTTATGATGTGATGTTCTTTTACTTGGTGGGGTTTTAAGTGTTTATTGTTTTTTAGATAACGTGCATTTTCACGACTAGTTGGTTTCTTTTTTCGTACATCTGGTCATAAAATTGTTTGGAGAATAATTTAAAAACAAAAAAAGGGATTCCAAATCTTGATGCATGCCAGCTCCATTTCATTGAGAGGCATTGACAGCACGCCTGGGTTTTTAAGGTCGTCAACGCTTAAATGGCCGATTCTCCAGCTGTGTGTACTGTGCCTAGACATCAGCCTTATGACTTGTTGATCTCAAGTGATTACTTAGGTTTCCACACTGGTACAAAGAAATACATGTATGGGAAAACTCTGCAGCCTTCTAAATGTAAATTTAGACCAGAAAAGGCGAGTTTAGAATGAGCCGGCAGCCCGAACCTCTAACTTCTCACGGGCTGTACGCACAAACCTACGCTGCCATAATGTGTGTGTGTGTGGGGATGAATGTTTATTTCACAGATGGGGGAGAACAGAGGTCTAATGAAAACCTGAAAGCTTTGCGTGCAGTGTCTTTTTTCAGGGAAATAAGACAGACGACATACACTTGTATTAGTTTTTTTATTTTAAATTTTTAAATAGAGCCACAAAAAGGTCTGTAGCAAAGTCTGTAATAACTCACACAAGCCATATCCATTGAAACTCATCTCAACTTTTATAAATGGTTTATCTAATTTGTGCAAGTATTGTATTTTGTATAGCTAGTACAATCGGAATATTTTGAGTGATCTCTTCGATATTAATTTGAGGATACGGGAAAAAAATTCTGTGTTAGTATTTAATGAATTGTACAGTGCCAAACTCATAACATTTTCTTGTCTTTTTATTCTCATAGCATCCTCAGTGGCTACAGGGGTTATTTCTTTTTTCACACCTGGGGACGCTGAAAAACTTTCTTTTTTTTTAGAGCGAGGAATGAATATGGTGTGTGTTTTTACCATTATGAATTTGTTTAGAAGGAGGATGCTTAATGGCCACATGAAATGGACAGGGACAGTGTTCAGTAATGACAAATTATGGATTTATTTTCATGCCAATAAATTTCAATACAGCCCTTTTTGTCATTGTTTATTGCATTGATCCCTTGGATACGACGCTGACAAACAAAGAATTTGTATAATAAAGTTAGTGGGAAAAACATTTTGTCATTTTTATTATTTTTGAACTAATATGTTTTGGATTTGTGTGCTTGTCCAGTTTTCTGCAGCTCTGCACCTACTCATTTCGAAGCTGCATGCTCATTTTAGTATAGAACAGGCAAGCTGGGGCCACATGTGGCTCTTTTGTGCCTATGCAGTGGCTCTGACAAAAACTATGAAACCAATTTTCTTTTTAATTTTTATACCAACAAGGAGAAAAGTGCTAGTTTTTGCAGTTTTCCTGTTATTTCTTTTACAAATATGTGAATGGCAGTACAAATACAAGGAGTAAAACATGTCAAAAGTATTTGTTTTCATTTAAAAATTCAATTGAATATCCAACTAGTATAAATTGTTTACTCACTTAAAACTTCATGCTTTATTACTTCAACATGGGACACCGCAAACATTTTTCCACAAATAAAAAGAAGACTTGCGTATGTAGGCCGGCATAGCTAAGTGTTTAAATTGTTTTTAATCAAAGTTGAATCTGGTCTTTTGTCTTCAATTCTAAAATAATACAAACAAATGTTAATCATTAGATATTTTTAATATACCACAACTGGCTGGAAAAGTTTCCTTTGACAAACTTAAAGTGGCCCATGGGCCACCAGTTGACAATCACAGTTGTAGCCAGTTTTGCAGCTCTAGACACATTTAATTAAACAAAAGCAGCAGAAATGGCTCTTATAATCATAAAGTTGCAGACCCCTGGTACAGAATATGTTAAAAGGATCTCTGACTGCCTGCATATATCAGCCTTAAAATGTTGTAATTACTTTACGCAACTAAAAGCTGTTTGTTGTATGTGAAAAATCCTAATTATTTTACAGTACACATATATACATATATATAATATTCCATTTTTTACCTAAGGATATTACCATTATTTTACCGGCGCAGTGCATTCTGGGCCAATGACATACATCGGTTGTAGTGGAGACTAAAACACAGAGTTAAGAATAAAAGGTTATAACGTGACAATAAAGTAATATTTTGTATTATTTAATGATTGTGTACAATAAATGGGTTGAAACAAGCAAATGTTATTTAATTTATAAGCCCTGAAGCTAAAGCGAGTCATTTCTCTGTCGTTCTCTCTGTCAATGCGCTCCAGGCTGAACATCAGATAATAACAATATCATACCTGGATTATTGAGCATGGACTTTGTTGTTTTCAACCAGTTTGACAAGACTGTCAACAAGGAAGAGGGCCAGCAATGGAGGAGGGGCGTACCAAAGAGACCATCTTATCACAAGCAGAACTGGTTTGTTCCACTTTGGAGTACGCTGTTGGGGGAAGAATCAGTTTAGTTGTGTGTTTCCTTGACTTATGAAGCCTTACGGATCGAAGGCGAAACGTTTCAGCACAAAAAAAAAAAAAAGAAACTGTCCAGATGACCTGACTGAAAAATGTTGAACATCAGATAATGTCCAAAATTAACGTTCAAGTTGAATGTAGCTTGCACCGGCGCAACCTGTCTACGTCATTTACTCAGAATGCATTGCAATGCAAATAAAATAGCAACATCTGTGTGTAAATGATTTTTAAAAACATAAAAAATAAACAGCCTGCAGTATTTTTACAGTCTCGTTTGGCTAGTTTTTATTGTTAAGCAAATCAAATGAGATCTGTCATTCCAACCAGTCGGAGATCCCTTTAAAGCTTTTAGTAACGTTATCTGCTTCCAAATAGCAAAAGGTAGACAATAATGCTTTTGCCTGTCCAAATCTGAGATAACTTTAAATCCAACTTCCTCCCCAAGATTTCTTCTGAGTAACGTCAGCGGTACTACAGTTTGATAAACATTACGGATACCTATGTACTGTACATTTAAATTACATTTAGCAACAATTATATAGAAATACATGTCGAAAAAGAACTGTTCGAAACATGCCCTGAGAGATGATAACAGTTCAACACTCTGTATTTAATTCAGCCACCGAATGGCACACAGTGTAACATCTGCAGACGTTAGCATTTATGTAACAAGGTTCTGTCGCCAACAATATATCATGACAAACAAATATTCTAAAGCAAGTAATTATGATAATTAACGTGTTGTGAAGGGTCGAACTGGAAGTAAAACAAAAACCATTTTCATCTCCAAAGAGCCTGGATCTGTGCTGAAATGCTGTATCGGTGATGCTGTGAGGTGTTGAACGAGATATAGTGAAACAACAGAGCGCTGCTCGGATCAGACACTTTTAAATGAGATCCTGCTCATATTTAAAATCTCCTGCGAGTACATTTATTACTCTGAGACGTATGAAGGCCTACATAAGAGCTGGTGCCGCCTGTTGAGCTGACAGAAATTATTTCCAGGCGCTGTTAATATTACGTTCATTTCAAGCAGAAGCAGCTTTAGACACACCGGAGGGATTGCAGTTGGTATATTTCACCACCTGGAGGTTCGCTGGCTCCAAAACTCGAACAAGGACCAACTTCAATCTTTTTCTGTAAGACAGGACTGACTATAGATCACATAGAGATAATTATTTACAGTAATGACACAGTGCTGATGTGTACTACTCATAATGTAAAGATTATTTAGGGTTTATTTAAAGGTTAAGGCGCTCCCACAAATCTTTATTTTTACTTTGTTCCCAGACAATGAGAAAATACTGAAAACATCAGCTCTTAAAGAGGATATATGGCAGTTAGCTTCTTTTATGTGGGTGCTCAAGCACACATAAATTTTAATTCAGCACCCCTGAAAACTAAAGTTTTTTTTTTTTTCTGGTTCTGGGTTTTTGGTTTGGGTTCTCTTTATTGCATTTATGATTCAATGCAACAAAATCAGTTAACACTAAACTGATTTTGTACAACACATTTATTAGGTTGTGTAATGTAGAGCGCTACGTCTGTAGCATCTTAGCTAGCGCACCTGTATTACACGCAGCTAGCTTAGCGCTACTTCGTGTTGTGCCAAGCTATTGAATAAAGTGTTTACTAGGTAAACATAGATGTTTAACAACCCGTTAAAATACACCAGAATGCAGGAAATGGCATCTACTTTATTCAAAAATCATTGTGTACCCCCAACACCCCAACATTATGAATGCAAGCCAGTGGCCACCACGTTGTTCAAGCCAAAAGCCATTGTGAGCACTGGGGGCTAAGCGCCCCTAAACAGCATATTTTAGAATCACCCCTGACATATGGACTCGTCTTTGTTTGAAAAATGTGATAGCTTTTTAAATGAAGCCGCTGTTTATTTTAATAAAAGCTTTGCACGTGTATAAAAACTCTCAGCCAGCATCATGAGGTCCTCACCTTGAGCGTTTTCACCTGCATTAGAGAAGTTCTCGCACCTTTTGGGAAATCACTGGCTGCTCTGATGTGGTTTGCTCCGGTCATTAGCACGCCTCATCACTCTTCTTTTTCTTCCAGCAGAGCCTGAAGGCATCATCATACCTCCACCTCCGTGCTCCACAGTGCGAGACACGGATGCAGGTGATTATTGATTCTCCTTTAATGTCCAATCTTTGTGTTTCCTACCAGTTTAAATCTTCTCTTAGGGTTCCCTCAGAAGTGGCTTCTTTCTAGCAGCTCGACCAGATTAAAAAAAATGTTTTCTTGGTTATATTCTAAGAGCAGGGATGCTGACTCTGATCTGAGGATCCTGACGATTTCTGTGATTGAGCTTGAGTAAATCTTTAAGTCATCTGGACGGTTTCTTTTTTTGTTGAGACATTTCGTCCTTCATCCAAAGGACTTTGTCAGCAAGCGTCACACTCAAATTGTGGGCCAACCAGTTTGCTGGTGATAAGATGGTTTTTGGGGCCTATCCTCTCCCCTGATGGCGAGCATCCAAAGGACAGATGAAGGACGAAATGTCTCAACAAAAAAAGAAACTGTCCATATGATCGGACTGAACTTTGTTGGATTTTTTTATCTGGATTATCGAGCATGAAATTTGATAAATTATCAAGATTAGCAGGCAGCACGGTGGCGCAACTGGTAGAGCTGCTGCCTCTCAGCGAGCAGGTCCTTGGTTCAAACCCTGGTCCAGGGGCCTTTCTGGGTGGAGTTTGCATGTTCTCTCCGTGCATGCGTGGGTTTTCTCCGGGTACTCCGGTTTCCTCCCACAGACCAAAAACATGCATGTTAGGCTGATTGGTAACTCTAAATTGTCCCTAGGTGTGAGTGAGAGAGTGAATGGTTGTTTGTCTCGTTTGTCTCTATGTGTCCCTGTGATGGACTTGCGACCCGTCCAGGGTGTACCCCGCCCCTCGCACAGTGATTGCTGGACATGGGCACCGGCGACCCCCGTGACCCAAAATGGAATAAGCGGGTAAAGATAATGGATGGATGGATATTTCGTATGTGGTTTCCATTTGATTTTACAATTTCTTATCCCACCTAAAAATAGCTTTATATTCTCTTTCAAGCATTAAAGGATGATACAGTTTCATTGTGAAAACTGATAAACTCAGTCTTGGTGATAAAAACCCACTGACGGAACAGTTTTTTGCATCGCCAAATTAAAATTTACAAAACCTATAATCTATCTATACTGTCTGCTGCCAAAGACAACGAGAGAAATGTCATTTCCTGTGAAAATGAAGAGCGAATGCTTATTGCTGGATGATTTTGGTTGAAAACTGCTTAAGAAGTTGAACCAGGCTCAAAACATTTCATGGCTAAATTGTTAATGTGAGTTAAATTTTAAGAGCTGACTATTGCTGATTGCAGGAAAATAAAATCAGCAAGTAAAAAAAAATTAAATGTGTAGAAAAAGCTGAATAAAGAAGAAATGTAGCTGAAATTAGCAGAATAAGCTGAAATATAGAGGCGCAATAGAATATAAATGAAAATCTGTAATTTGGCAAAACAGGAATAAAATGAGCAGGAAAAAAGCAGAAATTATCAAAAAAGTAGGTGAAAAGGCTATAGAAAAAAAAAAGCTTAAATGAGCCAAAAGAGGCTGAAAGGAATATAAACGGTTGATATGATTTAGACAGAAGCACAAAAGGTGGAAATTAGATGGAAAAAAAGCAAAAATAGGTTAAAATTAACAGAAAAAAAATCTTAACAGAAGTAGCTGGAAAAAATTAACAGATGGAAGCTGAAAAAAGAGCAAAAAGCTGAAGAAGCTGACAGGAGCAAAAAAAATTGCTGAAAAAACTCTGAAATACAACCAAAGCTGAAATGAATAGTAAATGTTTTAAAAGAGCACAAAGACTTTGACGGATGTGAAGAGTGCTCCATTCATTTTCAGAGAGGAAAAACACGAAGAAAAAGGCTAAATATAATAAATAAATAAATCAATTGCACAAATATCAAAAGTCATCGCAGGAATGTCCTGAACAAGCTGAACGTTTTGATATATGAATTGTTAAAATAGCACAAATTGTTGAATGAGTTACGTGCCAAAAAACATATGAAAGGAAAATGGATCTCAATAGTCCCTGTGATGGACTTGTGACCCGTCCAGGGTGTCCCCCGCCCCTCGCACAGTGCTGGACATGGGCACCGGCGACCCCGTGACCCAAAATGGAAGAAGCGGGTAAAAGATAATCGATGGATCTCAATAGTGAGCATGGTTTTTCAACATTCACACGATAATGTTATTTTGCCCACGTCTGTGTGAGTGTTCATTTATCTGCAGCTTTACCAAAATACCTCATGACCCATTGGACACAAATTAATGAAACTGTAAGGAGGTAATTAATGACAGATTAACTGTAGGAGTCACTTCAATTCAAGATGGCCACCACGGATAATCAACAATCGCCAACACAAAAACGGCTACAACTTAGCCAAATTGAAAATATTCAGCTAAAACTTGGTGTGGTAGTAGCTGAGAGTTATTCCCAACACACACTCCAAGTGTTAACTGATCAGACGAAGCAGTTTAAAAAAAATTGCAATTGAACATTGGAGTCAACTGTGCCTGTATGTTAGCAAAATATCCCAAGAACCACTGGACTCATTTATGGGGCCGCTGTGGTGTAGAGGTAGGGCAGCCGACCGGGGACCAGAAAGTCACAGACTCAACCCCCCGCCATGCCCACATGTCATAGTGTCCTTGAGCAAGACTTCCAATCCCTACTCCACCTGGGTGTATCTCATGTGATAGGTTAAATGCGGAGCACAAATTTTGTCAATGTATAGATACAATGATGACAATACATAGCACTTTATTACTTTATTTGAATGAAACCGTCAGGATGTAACCAGTGAATGTGCAACTATAACTGATTAACTTTTGAAGTCACCCCAGTTCAAGATGGCCACAACAGCAAGACAAACATGAAAATTCAACTCAGTTTATCTATATAGTGCCAAATCACAACAGAATTAGTCTAGGGCACTGTTCAAAAACATTCAAATAAATAAAAAACTAAATAAAGGCAGTTAGTAAAAAAGTTATGTATTCAAGCCAGCAAACTGTGTTGAATCTTCACTTCATCGCAGTCCTGAGCAAGCACAAAGGCAACAGTGGAAAGGAAAAACTCCCTTTTAACAGGAAGAAACCTCCAGCAGAACCAGGCTCAGGATGAGCGGCCATCTGCTTTGACTGGCAGGAGCGGAACAGGAAGGAGGAACTAACAAACTCAGAATGACAGGTCCAGATGTGCTTTCTATAGGAAGAAAGACAAAAAACAACAACACATGTTAAGAATAGAAATACAAATACAAACAGGTGCAGTAGAGCAAGTAAAGTCAGCAGCAGAGTGAGGAAATGTGGTCAGTTTGTCCTCCAGCAGTCTAAACCTATAGAAGCATAACTAAGGGATAGCTCAGGAAACCCAAGCAGACCCTATCTATAGGATTTATCAAAAAGGAAAGAGTGAAGCATAATCTTAAAATAATTCAATGTGTCAGCGTCACGGATGGAAACTGGAAGTTGGTTCCACAAGAGAGGAGCCTGATAACTGAAAGCTCTGCCTCCCATTCTAGGTTGTAGGTTTACATATGGTTCCTAGGGTTTCCTAATTAGGAAACCCTAGGAACCATATGTAAACCTACAGTCTATAATGGTTTGATTTAGCAAATGTTTGTTAATCATTTAGGAAACCTTTTCTCTGTACATTTATATGGATACGCAGTAGATTATGTAGAATATGTAACAGTAAGGATGGATTTGGTCATTTTACATTTGTGCATGTTTTGTGGGCTTATCAGGATGTTTTTATTTTATGTAAACAGGCCTGCAACGCCTCAGGTATTATATAGAGCCTGCTAAGTCCCTGACCCAGTCATATATGTGTAATGTAGTAATAATAATATGGCTATTTTAATATGCGTATTTGTATTTTTTTATTTATTTTTGGGGGGAGCAGTGAATCCGGTGTGAGCCCTAAAACACGGTCCGTGAGCCCCGCTGCCGCTACCCGGAAATATTACAAGGGCCGGAAAGGACCAATGTTGGGGGCGCACACGTCACTCACTTTTACCCGAAAATATCTCCATCGACCATCCAATTATTTTTTTTAACTCCTCGGCCGACAAAACATTAAGGCGAAAGCTCCCCCCCCAGGACAATAGCACACTCGCTCAACCGGGTCGAGACCAAATGGCGAAGGAGGCTGTCGACAACAGCACCGTTCACCCAGCTCAGCATCAGTGAAAATGGCTCTGACTAACGCCTGGAAAACAGCACGCAGAAATGGAAGCGGACGGTAGCTAGCTGGGGCAGTCGGCGAGAAGAAGGCGTGACAAGGCCTCATCCATCCGCAACCGTGTGCTTCTGCAGCTGGATGCGCAGGTAAACATCTTCCAAATATAGGTTACGCAGATGTATATGCTAACGTTAGCATCGTGATGTTACCGTTGTGCTTAGGGATGGAGGCTAACGTTAGCCACCGTGGCTCTTTTTTTTTTTTTTTTTTTTTTGTACTCTGTGTGGGGCTCCGAATAGCCAAAACACGCTAAACCTGGGTAAAAATAAAAATAAAAAAGCATGCTGAGAACCGTGAAGTTTTATATGCAAGCGTATTCAAGGTTTTATACCCCCCCCCCCCCCCCCCCCATTTTGTTTAAATGTTAGCCAACAGGATGCTACCTTCGAGGAGCATCCGTTATTTAACTGAAAACTAATGTTTACTTTGTGGCGACCTTGTGATGCTGGTGGTCATTTTCAGCATTTCTGCCCTTTGCAGGAACCATTGAAGATTCACGTTAAAATGAGATGCGGTCAAATATGCGATAAAACCCGTTTCCTCGTCTGCCAGGGGAACTCACTTGTCCCGGGATTCATCGCATCAATCAGAGGAAACGGTAAGCTTTTTTAAAGGTGAGCATAAAAGTGAGTATCTTGCTTTAAACAGACCAATTTTAGGCTGCCTAAAGTAGCATATTGTGTTTTTTCCCTTTACCTGTGGGCATCGAGAGTCATGCTTTCAGTAAATGTTACACTTAATTTTTAATTTATGCAAATGGTCGTTGGATTGGAGAAGAATATAACTCGATTGTAACATAACAGTACAGTATATAATGCAAAAATAAAAAGCAAAATATGAACAAATAACTAAATAAATGTACAGTAACTTGACTGCATGTAAAAGTTAGTCGTCTTAACACTGCCATTACTATTATTATGTCTGTTAGGGTAATTTCACACAATAAATACAAAACTTACCATTGATAGACTACTTTTTTAGATTCTCAGCATAACAATGTAGATTTTGTGATGCGATTGATGAAATACAAAAAAAAAAACAAGTAAATAATGTTGACAAAGAATAAAAGCGTTAGGGTTAATTTTTGTCAGGTTTTTCCTCTATGATTTGTTTGATAAGGCATTGTATGAACAGATTAAAATAATACAATAACTTGAGCAAAAAAAAAAACAGAAAATTTTAAAGACTAGCCAGTATAATGTTCCATAAGGAGCTGAAAGAAACGAGCGTTCATTTAATCCCACAGCTTCTCTTAACTTTTAGCAGCTAATAATTGTGACCAGTGCTGGCAAAGTGAGTCAGAATGAGTCCAGGCTGCAGAGTTAAACAAGTGAAAATAATGTAAACGAGTCCGTAAAGACATCAGCTAACAGTCCCGGTAACTAAAATGGCATATAATCTTCCCAATCTACCTTTAATTCAAAATGTATTTACAGATGTTTTCAGAAATCTTCCCTTATCTTATAACCCTTAGAATTTAGTTTGAAATAAACCAAATCCCTTCTTGTAGTGCTCAGCATTATTGTGATGCTTGGGGAATTCCCCTTTTTAAAAACAAGGGTGGAATTCCCGATGACATCATTCCAGACTAATAAAAATCCAACACTCGTAAACAAAACTAACTTGTTGCCAGGCCAGGTAATAAATTACAGAGTTTCAACAAAACTTACGCATCTTTTTTTGAAGCTTTTGAGATGGAGAATTTGAAAATAACAGTATTTAGAGATTTCTCACTGTGATTCATTTTGCCAGCACAGGTCACAATAGTCATTGTTCTTCCTGTTTTCTTATACATTACAAACATTAATCTTGTTTATATATAAATAATAAATGTTTCCTACAAGGAAAGTGATGAGCTAACTTTACAATCTGACAAGATAAAGTGTAACTTGATTACAATGAGAAAATAAAACATACCGTTTCTGTTTATTGTGGCCTTTTGTAATTTATTGCCATATTTCTCTATGTTGCCAGAGAATAATCACAGATGCAACAGTTGTAGGAGTTACTTTGTCCAGTGTGTAACAGAACAGATGCAGCACGAAGAGATTAAATGCCTTCGTAGTTCCAAGGATAGTAATATAACAAAATGGGTCACTATTTCTATAAAGTTTTGTTAGAGATGCAAAGTCTCTTCACACAGACACCTACAGGGTGCTTTATTTTCATAGACGAGGACAGATTATAAGAATAACCTTCTCTTCTGTAGTAAATATGAACCTAATATTAAAAACAGTTAGTAGGGCTGGGCGATATACCTCCATATTTTAAGATGAATGATGATATACAATGTATATCTCCATATTTTTTCGTTCTATAAAGTAATAACAAAAATATATTTGAGTCAAAGTTTTAACCCAATTGTCACACATGCACATATAGTAAACAGCTGTAACTGTACAAAATCAATGTTAAAAAAAAAAAAAAAACTACATATATTAGTTCATTTTTTTTAAACCTTTATTTATATATATTAAATAATAATCCTCTTCAGCTGTGCTGCCTTCACGACATTAGTAAGTATGTGTGAACTGCAGCTGCAGCTCCGACAGGCTTCAGCCTCCTTCCCTGAAACAAGACGGCTAAAGCGTGGAACAACATGGCTAAAGCGTCTTGTTCCACAGTTGAGACTGGGACCGTGTCTTTAGCGATATAATAAGCTGCTGATTTATTAATGTCACGGCGCCACCTCTCACTGTTCCTCTCATACGGCACAGCACGGTTAAATGAGTTTTATACCGTGGAATGTTTCAGGGAAGGAGGCTGAAAACGCATTTGAAGCTGCAGCTTATAACTTAACTTATAGTGCTGTTTTAAATGGTGAAAGAGATTCATAGTGCCGACCTTTTGTCAGGACTTGTTTTTGGCATTGTCTACAGACAACATTTTTCTGCTGGTCATTTGATAATTTAAAACCTAACCACCTCCAAATAACAGCCATTGTTTTTCTTTTTGCTCAGCAGCTAAGCTGCTCCTCATATCTCCCATATTTACTTACCATACCATTTTATTTATAAAGCACTTAAAACAGCGACAAGGCCAACCAAAGTGCTGTACAGACAGAACAACAGGTAACACACAAAGCAACATACAAAATGAAGTAAATCAGAATATAGACATAAAAACGATGCAGATAATAAATATGACGACTAACCTGTGTGAAGCAAACAGGTTCAAAACACAGATCATCTGGTGTTGAAAGCTACTGAATAGTAGTGTGTTTTTAAACGGGATTTGAAAACTTTTGCTAAACGTCTCCCACCCACCTAGAGAAGCAGGAAGCGGGGAGAGCACGCGCAGCTGAGAGGCTGGGTTTGTATTCAGTGAGGGAGAAGGAGGGGCCACGTGGGAGAAAGACAGCAGGTGGAATTTTAAGTACAGTATAACACTATATCGTTTAGATCTATATAGTCTCATATCGCAAATGAAATTATTTCGATATTTTTAAAATATCGAGATATCGCCCAGCTCTAGCACTTAGTCTTAATGAAGCAACTCCAGCAGAACCACATTATGGTAAGTTCTTACAAAAATGTGAAAAGCTGTTTTCCTCTTTTGCATCTAGAAACTGTAGAGGTGGCGTAAATGATTTTTTTTTTAACTATAAAAATGTAAAGATTTTTCTTGTATTTAGATGTTTATGTCACCATTTGCTAACTTACAAAACAACAAACATAGCAACTCAAGTTTGCTATTGCAAGTACTCTCTTTAGCACCAAATAAGATGTTTAAGAAAATCCAAGTTTCCTGCACTTTATTAAATGGATGAAAATCTAGTTTTTAGCTTGTGGATAATTATTTACTGTACATAGTAGTTTTTACATGTAGTACCCGAAATGCTAAACTATTAAACTCATCAATATTTCAGAAACAGATAGATGAAAAAATAGACAGATTTCTGTGTTTATTTTCATATGTCATTGTAGAACTTGAGTTTCTCTTTTACAGATTTGCTTCAGTTGGCGAGACATTTCATCATAAATTAAAGGCCAGTTTTGTTAGTGACTGAAGAACGTGTTGTTTTTCTTTTTATACTAAAGTTTGTAGAAACCTTCTATGACTTGTCCCTTTCTGAATCTTGTGTTTTCAGTTGTAAGAAATTCTTGGCTGAACACGGATGAGGAATCTTAGGTGAAGGGAAAATGCCAACGCAATAATTCTCACAGGAGACAAGAAGTCGTCATTTGAACTGGTTCACAATTAAGCAGTTTTGAAACTGGGGGGAACTCTTCTACCTGCCAGAAAGACAGTTTTATCCTTTGTTCGTCATATTATCATCTCTGCAACCCCACTCGTTTTGGAAATATAGTGTGAATGATCAACAGAGAGTGGCGGCCTCAGAAGTAAACAGTTTGGAAAGATGAACTTTAAGCCATCTTTAAAGTGAGGAAGTAGTAGCATAGCCTTACCCTTGGGGTAAAGATTGTCTTTCACCAGTAAGTGGTGGGATTATTGTAGCCGCTCCTAGTGCTGGAGGTTTGGCATCTGCACCCCCATGCGCCAGTGAGTGGGAAATGTTCCAATTTGGAAAATACAATCTGGACATTATAGAGATGTTAAGTGGGCACCAGGCCCACCAGTTCAAAGGCCTCGGTTTAGATCGACAGCTACAGCATCAGCAGCAAGTGCAACTCCACCAGCATCAACTACAGCAGCAGCAGCAGCAGCAGGTTGAGTCTTCTGGAGCTCTTCTGTCTGGACTTGGCTTGGGCCCCCTGCAGGGGTCTAGAGGTAACGCCTTTTCTGATTCTGCCTCCATTTTTGCCAAGATGAGTGCCCCTCCTCCCCCACCTTTACAACAGCAGCCTTCCTCGTCTCAGACCTCTCGTTCAAAGTCAAGCAAGATGAGCAGCAGCAGCTCAAGCCATTCTTCAGGCTACCCACAGTTCCTGCGCTCTTTCCACCCGTCTGACGCAGCACTAGCACAGGAGCAGTTACACCCGAGTGTAGGCCGCTTTGAGCACTTTACAGGGGCAAGCAGCAGTAGTGGGAGTGCTGGGGGATTAGGAGGATTAGTAACATCAGCACCTCCACCTCCTCCTCTGCATCCTGGCCTCTCTGTCCCCCAGGCCTCACCTGGCCCCTCCTCCTCCTCCCCCTCTCCATCCACCTCTGTAGCCACCTCTAACAACCCTAGCAGCAGTGCAGTCAGCTCACTGGGGCACCAGTTGGTCGGGGCCCAGTCTGATGCACGGAGCCTTCACCAACAGTTTAGTTGCATGCTAGCTGCTAATCAGTATTTTCTTTCTGGGGTGCCTGCTAATGCTAGTTTAGAACAATTCCTTGTTCAACAAGGAACCCATAACCACTTAGGGATTGGTTTAAGTCAAACAGGTGGGGAGCCAAGTACCAGCCTTGCTCCGCCTCCTGCTTTGCATTCTCACTCGCATGGCCACTCCACTCCACAGCCTCAGCAGGCTCCTCAGCAACCTCCCCAGCAGCAGCTTCCACCACACTCCCTTTCTCATGCTCACTCCCATTCCCATCCTCACCACCCTCTCCATCCAGGCTCTCAGGCTTCATCACTGGGTGGCTTTGACTTCCAGGGCATTCCTGTACTTTCAACTAATCAAATAGCTTCACTGATGCAGCAGGAAGCAGGTTTGCCCCTCCCTTTACCACTTCATTTATCCTTGTCTAAAGAAGATGGTAAAGGTGAAAGCAGTGGAGGTGGAAGCAGCAGCAGTAGTACCAGTAGTAGTAGAAGAAAAAAAGCCATGGCTGGCTATTTACCACAAAGAAAATCTGATAGCGGTAGTAATAACAGTAGCAATCATGGCCACAGTAGCCACAATAATCCTAGCACTAGCAGTAATAATGGAGGGCTAAGTCATAGCCAACCCCCAGCTTTAATAGGTAGTGGGGTTGGTATGACAAATATGGGCGGAGACCCATCATCCCTTCTTGCCTCATCATCTTCATCCTCATCAGTAGTGTCTTCTTCCTCCTCCTCTGCTCCCTCTTCCACTGCTGCCTCAGTACTAGTTACTAATGATTCTCAGCTTTCTAAATCTGATAACCAGAGCTCAATGCAACCCAACGCCACAGGGTCTGATACAGAGCCCATTTATAGCTGTGGTGACTGTGGCAAAAGCTTCCCTCACCTTTCAAGTCTTCGCAGGCATATGCGCATGCATGAGCCAACTGCAGCAGGTACTTGCAATACTACCACCACAGGCCCAAATCCCATTTACATTAAAACACAGTCTGATCCAAGCCTTCCCCATTCGACCCAAGAAATCCCCCAGCCCTCGTCAAATTCTTGTCCTAGCCCAGAGAAAGTATTTCATTGCCCCGATTGTGGCAAAGCCTTTAAGAAAAAAGGGCACCTCCTGCAACATGGTGTGATACACTCTTCAGCCCGCCCGTATGGCTGTTCCACCTGCTCTCGGGCTTTTAATCGTAGAGAGTCACTGACACGCCATGAGAAGATTCATGAGGAAAAGCCGTTCCGATGCCCTGCCTGTGGTCGTGCCTTCCGTGAGAGCACATCTCTACTCAACCACGCTGCCTCAGGCACCTGCGGCAAGCCAGGTAGGGGACCCAAACAACGGGCCAGCAAGACAGAAACTGATGTTGAGGACAGAGTCGGGGGAGGAAGTGGAGGAGGTAATGGAGGAGGGGGAACTTATCAGAGCAGTAGAGGGGTTAATTTTGGGAAAACTGAGGAAGAGGATGGTGTAATCATTGTGGGTGAAGGAGAACCTAAATCAGGTTTAGGATGTGATGGTCTGTTTCAGTCTGGAAGGGGAGGGAATTCAAATGACAGGGACAGAACAGATGGTAAATACCCAACTGACTACTCTCGGAATCGTTACACAGGCTACCACGATGACCACCGTTCTCAAGGTAATCCATCTCCATGCTACTCTGGTGCCTCCCCATGTGGAAGTGGGATGGCGGGCCCAGCTCTGAGAAAGGCACCCTTGGCCCCAACACTGCATCCGCACTCACAGAGCCACAACCAGCACCACCATCCGCAGCAGCAGCCACCCCAGCCCCACCTGCCTCTTTCTTCTCTACTGGATGACTCAGAGGATGATGTCACTAGCTCTGTCAATAATGCAATCTCTGCAATAACGGCAGCTACTAGTGGAAATAGAGGGGATGATAGGGGAGACATCATAGGAGGTCTGCTAGGTGGTCTTGGTTTAGGACCTCTGGGCTCACCTTCATCCACATCTGGCATGGATAAGGGTTTTAGAAATGGTGGGAGTCAGGAGGCTTTGAGCAGCAACCCACAGAATCTGACTACCAAACCAAAACGCCCTCGCAAACCAAGAGCTAAAAAAGATCCTGCAGCTGGTGGACAGCCCCCAAAACGTAGGCAATACACCCCCAGATTGGGGCCAAGTGGACTCCCACGCACTCATCTTTGCAGTGTCTGTGGGAAGGGATTTGCTCGCCGCGAGACACTACGTAGACATGACCGCATCCATACTGGAGAAAAGCCCCATCATTGTGCTACATGTGGCAAATATTTCAGAGAAGCTTTTCACCTCAGCAAGCATCAAACAGTCCACTCTGGGGCAAAAAACTATAAATGCACCATCTGTGGAAAAGAGTTTGGTTACTCCCAGAGTCTCAGAAGGCACAGCAAACTCCACCAGAAAGGGGAGCTCGAAGAGGTGCCCACAACACCAGCTCCAGAGAATCTCAACAGCTTTAATCCAAATACTCAATGTAGCGTTGCGCAAGACAGGAGCCAGAACCAAGCACCAAGCACCTCCTCCTACTACCCCTACTCTCAAGACGTCAAGCCTCAAGACTCCAACCCTCAGCCGCAGCCTACGCCCCAATCCCAACCGCCGCCCCCACCACCACCTCGACTCTACACCTGTGCTATATGTTGGAAGTCTTACCGTCATCACTTCCAACTGACTGCTCATCACCAGATGGTTCATGAAGGTGGGGGTGACAAGTTTTTTTCCTGTGAGGTTTGTGGGAAACAGTTTGCTTACTCTAATAGCCTCACTCGACACAGGCAGTCTCAGCATGGAATTACCCGTGGTGAACAGTCTAACCCTCAAGACGGCAGCAGTGGGTCCGGAGAAAATAGAGGTGGGAGTGATGTTAATCAGTCAGCATCTGAGAGTGAGGCTGCCACCAATGCCTTGCTTCAGATGGCTCCATCCACTGAAGTTCATGGGGGGCAGGGTCTTAGTGTTGTCACTCATAGCCACCAGCAGGCGCCTCCACAACCACCAGCTGGTTACTCTCCCCTTTTTTATGATGCTGCAGCAGCCCAACCCGCTGCCTCTAATGCCCCATCTTACTCTCAACCCCTGCCTCCCAACTCTACAATCATGCCCCCTCAGCATCCACATTCCCCAGCTGGGGTGAAAGGAGAGCACATTTATCCAGCTGGATCCCGTAGCCGCACACTTCACACCACAGCGCCATTCCAGCCCCTCACGGAACTGCCTTCCACTGAACATCACCATCTGCATCACCATCACCATTACTCCCACCATCATCCCCATCATCAGTCAGACACCCAGTCCCACCAACACTTCGACTGCAACATCCCGTTGTCCCATGATGAAATGAGACGACAAAAGAAGAAAAAAAAAAAGTCCAACAGGAGGGAAAATAAATGGGCTTCCCTTGAATCTGCAAGATTTGATGGTGTCAAAACGAAGAAAAAGATAAGTTGTACAGTAAGAGGGCAGTTGAATAAAAAACAAGGCTCTCTTCGACTGACAATTAGACGAGGAGGATCGGGTGGTGGTGGGTATAGGCTTGTCAACACTGGCGGAATGAAGGTGCAGATCCTGTCATCTCTCCATGTCCCCGTGAAGCGTTTTGGATGTCCCACATGCCCCAATTCTGTGTTTTCCCGTAAAGCTGGACTGCTGATCCACATGGCGGTTAAACACCCACAGAAAGCCTTGAGCTGTCAGGAGCGACTAAGGTGCAGTGTGTGTGGGAAGCAATCTCACAGGCCTCTGGCAGCCTTCGTCCATCGGGCCTCCCATCGCGCCAGAGGGACTTTCTCCTGCCTTCACTGTGCCGCTCGCTTTTGGAATGCTACACTTCTTCACAGGCACAAAGTGTCCTGCCACCGCAGGGCTAAAAGACTGCAGCGAGGAGACGCCAAGAGGCCGAAGCTTTCAAAGAGACCCGGAGAAAGACAAACCCATGAGAGTCACGAGGAGATGTCATTCTTACAGGGACCATACAGATACTGATCCCGGTGTCTGAAGAAATTGGTACACAAGAGGGATTGCTTTGTTTTTTCAGCTCTAAAATTAGAAAATGAGGTAAAAAAAAAAAAAAAAAGGGACTTGAAAAGGCATGTGTTGCCTGTAGGAAAATTTGCCTCGTGTTTCTGTTGCATCTACTCTGCTGACTATTAGAACGAGTGTTAACAACTACTGTAGAACATTATATTGAACTATCACCTGAGATTCTTCCAGATTATATTGGAAGGTGCTCCCAAGGTGTTTTCAAAGACATGACTGTTTTCATAGGATCATTAATTAACCCTTAAGTGCATTGACACTATGCTTGGCTGACACTGTGCAGTTATCTAGGCAAGTTAGATGAATTGATCTGCTAATGTACCTCCCATCTACAACTAAAATCCCTGCTTCACCTCTCGCTGTATGATAAACGTCTGCTGTGTATTTTGTCTTGTTGTTGTTCAATTAGAGGCTCTGAGGATTTTTATTTTTTTTCATTTTATGTAAAGTGCATTTATTAGGAGTAGGGACACAGGGACAAAGACCTTTTTGTTGATAGTTTGTCAGTGCATGTTTGTTCTCTGGTCAAGTTTTTTGCTGAGGTTGTGAGATCACTCCTACAGTACCGTATGTGATGGTTTATTCAGTATATCCCCAGAAGTTTGTAGTGTAAACTTGATTTGAAAGTTGCTCTATTATTACCTAGTGATTTAATCACATATAGATAAAATGTCAGTTCCTGATAATTAGCATAACGAGGATCCCTCTCCTGCCAAAATTGAAGACTTACGAGAAGCCTTGCGTACGATGTTTAGTTTACTTTCTTTATCTGAGATGTTCTTAGCTTTTATACCACGGGATTAAAAACAGGTTCAATCAACTGTAACACGTTGATCTCATGTTATTTGTATGCTCTTTTTAGCGGTAATTATTTCTACTGTACTTCACAGTGTTAAAGACAAGGACCTATCATGATAGAAACAAGTGTAATATTTCATGTATTTGTAACTAAGTCTTTTCCCTTATTCATCTTATTTTTTGCTGAGTTGCAATCATGTTGTTACTGTTGAGCCTTGTTTTTTCCCCTCTTTTAAAGACTTCAGTTTTAATCATGCCACTTTATTCACGTATAAAATGTTCATACCCCTGTCATTATGTTTCTTTTCTTCTAAAGAAAAATGATAGTTTTAGTAGATTTCTATTACACTATTTACTGAGAAGTCAGTAGTTGATTATATTTCAGCAATGAATAAACCTTAAGTGTAAAATTTTGTTTTCCTTTCATTTCTGACTCATTAACCTACCTTACAGTATGTTCAGAACTAAAACGGTTAAGGTGTATAGGTTATTTGTTACCAAAGTCAGCGCTGAAAGTTAAGATTTCTATTTAGCTAAATGTAAAATGTGAATTTTTTTTTTAATCACTTTGTGGATTAAACGAATATCCCAAATGTAGTTGAATGTACCAATAAATTAACTGCTTGAAGAGAGTTGATGGTTTGGGTAATGCCGCTTTTTATTGTTTCAACAAAACGCAGCTCTCACATTTGGCTCCACAAGATGGCAGTAAGCACCTCGTGTAGTGATCTTGGCCTGGTGGGCATGAGAGTCACATGGATTTAACTGTGATGGGAGTGAACTGGAGGGGCTGGATGGCCTACTGCTGTTTACAAGATGAACATCACAAAATAAACAGCCCCGATTATCTGCACTTGTAATGAAGAAAGCTGCATTGAAACATAATAAAAATAGGAAATGTGTCTCAGGTGTAATCTAATGCACAGTTTTTCTTCAACCTGTGCACGGGACCAGGGATGGTTGAAACTTTTTTTTTTTTTGCATCCATAGCTTGGAGCCCTTTTAAGCCAGTGGTTTCAAAATGTGATACAAACAAGTTACATGTGTTAAAAGGTGTAGCTGTTCTCTCTGCAGAGCAAACAGAAATCACAAGGTTTAGTCTCAGACACAAGGAGTGAAATGTTACAAACAACCCCATAGTCGAGTTCATTGTAGACGTGAGATGTACCGTAAGGATTCAGACAATATTTATACCAAAACCTTTATTAATACAACCTTTAAATCACTCAGTAGTTTATATGTGTGTGTGTGTGAGACATAAGAAATTTGAACAGTCCTAATGATAGAATTGAACAAAATGCAGGAATATTTGAGTGTGACTATTTGCTTGTTTTACACTGAACTAGTGACCGACCGTTCTGGGCGTAACCTGAGAACTAGGGGTGCACCGATTGAAGTTTTCTGGCCGATCACCAATTTCTAAAAAGTCTGACCTGCTGATACCGATTTTGTTTTATAAGCGACACTGTCAGGTGTTATAAGGTCACAATCCACCTTCAATTTTCCAATATTATTTTGTTGAAAAACATACCTTTGAACAATAGCCTAGAAACAATACAAACTTGTTTTAACTGGCCATGAGATAGTGCTCTGGAATATAAATGAAGTTCAGACAATTGTTGTTAAAACAAGAAAAAAAATCTGTAAAATCGGCTTCTCATGCAAGTATCGTCCGATTTCCCAAAATTAAGGAAATCGGGGCCAATAAATCGGCCGATTTATTGGCGCACCCCTACTGAGGACTAATCATCAGCTCCAGCCTTTTTTTTTTTTTTTTTTTTTTAATAGGATAGAAAGAAAGAAAAGACAAAGTAAGACTCCAAAATATAAGAAATATATACAAATAGAGCACACGTCAAAACACCCGGCCACTGTCTGTTCACCTGCAAAGAACATGACAACACAGCAACAAAATACGTGTATAAAGAACTTAAAATATTCATGGCTTTGCAGTAAGTTTCCATAAATATATATACCCATACCTACGCCTATATACATACATACATACATACACATGAATATACACTCACATACATATCTATATATCTACATATAAAGCCTACATAAGCATCCCTGCTTCTATTTGTGTGTGGTTGTGAGCATGCATAAGTGTATAAGGCTTCTCTAATAGAACATTTATTAGTAACTGTGAAGCAGCAGAGACCCGACCCCCAAGACCAGAGGCAGACGAAAAAGGGGGGACCAGAGCCCAAGACCCCAGGAGGGACCCCGACCGCGGAGCCCCCAGAGCCACCCACACAGAACGAACCACTCACCCACCCCCCAGAACGGACCACAGGGGAGAACCTGAAGATCCCCACCAGCAACCACATACAGTGACCCCCCGGGGCCAACAGCGACAAACTCATAGGCCTCCGTCGGCACCCGCCGCACCGATGTAGGTCCAGGTCCAGGCACTGAGGCCCAGGCACCGAGGACTCACACCACCCAGGCCAAGGCCTGACAGGGCCAGAGGACCCGAGCCCCACCAGGCAGACACCAGGCCGAGCCGACACACGCCCAAGCGCCCAGCCCCCGATACCAAGGGCCCCAAGCGCGCCGGCAGGCAAGGGCACACCCCACCAGGGGGCCGCGCGATAGGGGCGCGATGCCAAGCACCCCCAGTTGTATCAAAGAGGGGGCAGTCCGAGTCTCAGCCTAACAAATACCCATTCATACACAGACACAATCACACAATCCCAACCTCAATCTCACATTCATTCACTCAAAGACATACAATAACGATACATTTCATTCTTATTCCCGATACACACTCTATACCCCCCAGGTCCAAGACATGTACCTGCCCTCTACAGGGGGCAGCCCATGCCCAAACCCAAGAGGTAAACCCATTCATTCTTGAGCGGAGAAGAGCCAATACCCCAGACCCGGCCCAGGCCATGCCCCGCCGACAGGACACCCCCCCACCATGAAGAGGACACGCCACCGACCACCCCCACACACCGCCAACAACCAAGCACGCACCCCCAGCCGACCGCCCGCCAGGCCCCGGCAGCCACCCCGGCCAGCGGGCCAACCATGGCACCCAAGAGCCAAGCTCAGGGGGTCCAAACAACCCCAGGGAGAGCACAGCGCCAGCACCGCCCATGGCAACCCCCAGACCCTGAACCCCCACATAGTCCTGGTCAACACCCGACGGCCTGCCCTTCTCCCGGACCCCACCCCCGGAATGTCAGTCAGGGAACTAGGTGGGTAGGAAGAGGAAAAAAAAAAAAAATAATAATAATAATAATAATAAGACCCCGACACATACACCCCCACCCCTAGATGTGCTGTTGATGTGTGTTGTTGTATAGTGCCATTAAAAAGGAAAGAAGAAGGAGCAAAGGCTGGCATGGTGCCAGTTTCCCCTCCACCCCAACTCTATCCAAACCCTAGTGTCTAAATGCAACCATTGTAAGTGAGCACAGGCACAGGGGGTGAGAGTGAGGTCATCCCACCACCCATAGCCATGTGCCCACCTCAAATTCCTATATATGAATGTCATGAGGATGTTATGAATGAATGTCTAAGGTGTACAATAAAATTGAGTCCCAGGTGGCTATGGTCAACAAAGATGTAAAATTGTTGCAGCACACCCGAGCCCAAACAACCCTAAATGTATGGAATTGAAATGTAGAGGGTGGAGGTGCATGGTGAGGGATGGGGAGAAATAACTGTGAGAGCAAATGCTCCCACAGGGAGTCAGCTCCCCCACTGACCCAACAGCCCCCCCCCCCCCCCCCCCCCAGCCCCCCAAGGTCCACCCAGGGATTGAGGCTCCAGCCTTTAAGGACTTGTCCCATGACTTTCGATGTTGGTGTCCTCCTTTCACAGATGTGCAAATATCCTTAATGGCAATTTTAAAAATACAGTGGAAAAAGGGTGGGTTGCTCTCTTAAGGTCGAGGGTGAGGTTTTGCCTCAAGTGGAGGAGTTCAAGCATCTCGGGGTTTTGTTCACAAGTGAGGGAAGAATAGAGCGTGAGAGTGATGGATTGCTACAGCGTCTGCAGTATTGTGGACTCTGTGCTGGTCCGTTGTGGTGAAGAGGGAGCTGAGCTGTAAGGCAAAGCTCTCTGTTTACCGGTCAGTCTACGTTCCTACTATCACCTATAGTCATAAACTCTGGTAAGGATGCTCCCTGGGAGGCGCTTCAGGCATGTCCGACTGGGAGGAGACCCCGGGGACAACCCAGGACATGCTGGAGAGACTATGTCTCTCGGTTGGCCTGAACACCTTGGGGCCCTTCTGGAAGAGGTGACTGTGGAAAGAGATGTCTGGGCCTCCCTGCTCAAGCTGCTGCCCCCGTGACCCGAACTCAGAACAAGCGGAAGATGATGGATGGATAGAATTTTAAAAATGTATTTTTTGTATTGCCTCTAATATAAAATGTTAATTTCCCCACAGTTTTCCTTTATTGGCTCCTATAGAGCTGCTTATCTCTTTTGAAAGTTGTCCATAATATTCATCAGAAGGATTTTTAAAATGTGTTCACCAGTAAAGACCTATTTTTGTCCCCCGTCACAGAGCAAAATGGGGGAATTGGAAATGCCCTCCATCCGTCCATGAATGTGAGCACAACAACTTGAAAATGATAACTTGTGAGGTACTGACTTCCATTTTGGTAGTCTTGTGCATCTAGGCATACAAAACTTTCCTTTTGAAAATTAGGTTGCCAGATCAAAATCCAAGATGGCCACCCACCACCAAATATGTATTTATAGTTAACTTGAAAAATAAGTAACTTCAATTTTAGTGTGGCTGCATCAAGGCATAAAAAAGATCCCTATCAAAAATGTTGCCAAATCAAAATCCTAGATGGCCACTACCAAATAATTATACGAAGCTGGACATCCCAATCAGTTGAGGAAACTGCTTTCTAGATTTGTATTGCTTGTTTCCTCAAATATTTGTGGTGGCCCAAGAGTAATCTATGATGGCCAAGGCCACCATTGGCCACCCTCTGGCTCTGCCATTGGTGGATAAATTTGCTCCTGCCACTTGCCAGGATCCATCACTCTGAGCTGCCTCGACAAGCAAAAAAATAAAAATAACTACTACGTCCAAAAACTACAATCATTTACAATCCAAATCCCTCAACTACAGGAGAGCATACCGCTTGTCCACTGTGATATCACACACGTGATTAATTTAGTCTACTAAATCTGTGCAGGGACGTCGCAAACGCCGTACATTTTTGTCATTGCCAATCTTACAAACGTTCACTGATATTTTTTTAACTTTTTGTTTTTATGGAGAGCATTTGTTACGAAGACACCCCCCCCCCCCCCCCCCCCCCCCCCCTCGCACACACACACCTGACCCGTGTTCCAGCCATCCCTGGTCTTCGCTACTGCGCCAATCTCTTAATCCATTTTTTGTTTGTGACTTGTGACTCAGCAATGAGTAGTTTTTAAATCTTTATTTTCAAATTCTTCTCAAAACCTTCATAAAGATACTTTGTTTAATTTCCTGATTTATCACCTGGCCTGGCAGCAAGCTGTTTTCAAGTGCCAGTTAGAAAAGTCCAACCTTTTATTAAAAACAGGAATACCAACACTTCATTATGATGCCAAACAGCAGCATTTCTTGGCACTATGGCAAAGACAACGGTCAATGTCAAAGAAATTTATAAGGGTTTGAAGACAAACACTTATATCTGAACACGTAGTTCTAAAAAGATTTTGATTTACATGCAGATTAGGAAGCTTATATGCTATTTTAGTTACTGTGACTGCTATGATGTCTTTATGGATGCATTTTAAGGCAAATTTAAATCATGGCAAAAATCTGTATTTTCACAGCAACCTGGGCTCGTTGTCACTCAGTTTACCAGATCAACTTTTCCTTTAAAGTGGTCTCAATCAACATTTCCTGAAGGTCTTTTAAAGTTTTCATTGGCTACTTCTTTTTAAACTAATGTTCAGTTCAGTTCAAATCATTTATGAGAGAAGTGTTTTATTTTACCTGCTTTCAGAGGAATGTTGTCACCTACTATGAGTCATCCAGTTATGAAATGGTTCCCAAACTTAATGGATGAACCTGTTTTGTGTCGACGCTCAACAACTTGGCAAAGAATTTGTTTTTTATAGGATCTTTATTTCTTAGCAACAGACCAAAAATAGCACGTTGGCACCAGCAAAGGTGATTCCTAAAGAACTTTTAGCCGAAAAACTTGTCATCCAGCAGCTGTGTGATGTCTAATGAAGTATCAGGTATTTGCTGGAATTTTGTCCCACGTTATTTCTGAAAAACATGGCTTTAGTTACAAACCGGATTCCAAAAAAGTTGGGACACTAAACAAATTGTGAATAAAAACTGAATGCAATGATGTGGAGGTGCCAACATCTAATATTTTATTCAGAATAGAACACAAATCACCGATCAAAAGTTTAAACTGAGAGGATGTATCATTTTAAGGGAAAAATCTGTTGTTTCCAAATTTCATGGCGTCAACAAATCCCCAAAAAGTTGGGACAAGTCCATTTTGACCACTGTGTGGCATCCCCCCTTCTTCTTACAACACTCAACAGACGTCTGGGGACAGAGGAGACCAGTTTCTCAAGTTTAGAAATAGGAACGCTCTCCCATTCATGTCTAATACAGGCCTCTAACTGTTCAATCATCTTGGGCCTTCTTTGTTGCACCTTCCTCTTTATGATGTGCCAAATGTTCTCTATAGGTGAAAGATCTGGACTGCAGGCTGGCCATTTCAGTACCCGGATCCTTCTCCTACGTAGCCATGATGTTGTGATTGCTGCAGAATGTGGTCTGGCATTATCGTGTTGAAAAATGCAGGGTCTTCCCTGAAAGAGATGACGTCTAGATGGGAGCATATGTTGTTCTAGAACCTGAACATAGTTCTCTGCATTAATGGTGCCTTTCCAGACATGCAAACTGCCCATGCCACAAGCGCTCATGCAACCCCATACCATCAGTGATGTAGGCTTCTGAACGGAGCGTTGATAACAACTTGGGCTATCCTTGTCCTCTCTGGTCCGGATGACATGGCGTCCTAGTGTTCCATAAAGAACTTCAAATCGTGACTCATCTGACCACAGAACAGTCATCCATTTTGCCACACTCCATTTTAAATGACCCCTGGCCCAGTGCAAACGTCTGAGCTTGTGGAGCTTGCTTAGAAATGGCTTCCTCTTTGCACTGTAGAGTTTCAGCTGGCAACGGCGGATGGCACGGTGGATTGTGTTCACTGACAATGCTTTCTGGAAGTATTCCTGAGCCCATTCTGTTATTTCCTTGACAGTGGGATTTCTGTTTGAGGTGCAAACAGTGACGTTTAAGGGCCCGGAGATCACGAGCATCCAGTAGAGTTTTACGGCCTTGACCTTACGCACAGCGATTGTTCCAGATTCTCTGAATCTTTTGATGATGTTATGCACTGGTTGATGATGATAACTTAAAAGTCTTTGCTATTTTACGCTGGGTAACACCATTCTGGTATTGCTGCACTATCTTTCTGCGCAACAATGGTGGAATTGGTGATCCTCTTACCATCTTGGCTTCTGAGAGACACTGACACTCCGAGAAGCTCTTTTTACACCCAATCATGTTGTCAGTTGACCTAATTAGTGTTAATTGGTCTTCCAGCTGTTCGTTATATGCACAATTTCCTTTTTCCAGCCACTTATTGCTACTTGCCCCAACTTTTTTGGGATTTGTTGACACTGTGAAATTTTGAATCAACATATTTTTCCTTTAAAATGTTACATTTACTCAGATTAAACTTGTGATCTGTCATCTATGTTATATTACGAATAAAATATTGACATTTGCCATCTCCACATCACTGCATTCAGTTTTTATTCACAATTTGTTTAGTGTCCCAATTTTTTTGGAATCCGGTTTGTAGTAAAAAAAAATGTTTTTTTAATTATTCCCTTACCTCACAACTAGGGACAATTTAGAGTTACCAGTCAGCCTAACATGCATGTTTCTGGGCTGGGGGAGGAAAGCCGGAGAAAACCTGCATGCACAAAGAGAACATGCAAACTCCACCTATGGTCCCCAGCTGGGATTCAATCTAGCGACATTTTCACTGAGAGGCAACAGCCCAACCTGCATGTTGAATTTTAAATAAAATATATATTTATATTTTTACCTCCTAATTGCTTCAAAACAATGTTTGCTTTATGTTTATGATGTTCTACCAATCCTAAATAGCTAGTGGGAAATAAAAATGCACACCTAGCAAAAGCTTGGGTCTCGAGAGAATTTTGGCAGTGGGCAGAACTGTTGCTTCACAGTAATCCCCCGTTTGGTCCTGGGGTCCTTCTATGTGCAGATGTTGTCCTCATGTTTGTGTGGGTTTTATTGTGTGGGGCGGCTGAGTGGTTAGAGCAGTTGTCCTCCAGTGCACTAGCTGGGGGTTTGATTCCATCAGCAGTCACATGCCGAAGTGTCCCTGGGCAAGACACTGAACCCCCCGATGTGTCCCATCGGTGTATGAATGTGATGCACTGATTGTTCTTTGTAGATATAGTAGAGTTCTGTATGAATGGGTAAATGAGGGCACCGATTGTAGTGTAAAGCACTTTGAGTATCTTGATGAGATAGAAAAGTGCAGTCTTACCATTTTCTCCGGGTACTCCGGTTTCGTCCCAGTATTCAAAACATGCATGTTAGGCTGCTTTCAGGCCCAGGCCTGCCTTACAATAGAGATCTGTGATCTCAGTGGGATTTGCCTGATTATTAAAAATAACAATAATAACAATAATAAACTGACCAAGGGAGGCCATTAAACTTTAGAGGTGACCATTGCCCCCCTGGTTCCCCCTTTGTGGCACCCCTGCTTCATTGGCTCTAGAGATTTATTTATCTAGAAGATTGTGGTAAACATCAGGAAAAAAACAAGTGGTTTGGACGTTTTTACTCAAAAGTTCCTGGAAAAAGGTTATTCAGAGGCAGCAAATTTATCGTGCAATAAAAGCGTTATATTATTTCAAAGAAATAAATATTTAGCCCGTTTCTGTTTCCATGAACCTCTGCGTGTGTGACAGCAGAAAAAAGCAGAGGTGAATTCCTGTGGCGCGCGCTCCGTTTTGCATGTGCTCCGCAGACAGACACACATCGAGCTGTCTTATATTTCTCGTTGCTCTCACGCGGCAGTGGCATGCTCTGATGAGGGGAGGGAGGGGTGAATCCGAACAGGAGGCGGAGCTTGTTCGACCCGTTTCTGCCAATGGATTCGCTCTTTGTGGGTGGAGCCTGTCGATCGCTGAGGCCAATCAGCGCTCGAGCCGCGCCAAGCGGACAGGCCTGTTCCTCCGCGTGCCCGACACACGTGAGCTGGAACAGCTATTGTACGCCGGGAGGCAACGTGCTGGAGCGTTCCCTTCGCTTAAAAAAACCCGGCAGACTCACGTTTTCCGTGGATTACAAGAAAACAGGAAAAGCCGCGCAGCAGCGTGGACAGCCAAAACCTACTCCACGTGAACTAAACAAGCATTTAAGATACTAAATATTCAAAATGTAGTCTGTGATAAGACTTTAAATGGAGAAAACGACTCAGCTCGCGAGCTCGTTCTGTGCGAACTTAGAATTATGAAAAAAAAAAAAAATTGCATGTGTGTGCATCACAATGACCGTACCTGTCAAGACAAAACAAACAGCCTGAGCTCCTCGAGGAGGTGAGCACGAGGAGTAGGTGTGTCTCATAAATAATGAGCGTGCCAGGAAGATCCGAGGCTCTTTACGCCCCGCCCCTCCTCCGCCACCACCTCCTCGCGCCTGTTCTGGGAGCTGTGACGTCACGTGAACTGCCCGTGTCTGTTCCAGCTGAGGAGCAGAGAAGGAAAAAAAAAAAGGGAGAGAGGACGGCTCGGACTGTGGACGTCGCGCGGCTCGAACACAAGCCCGTGACTGCACTCCCCCCCACCTGAAAAAAATTAGACAGAAAGAGGAAACGACCCTTCCTCCTCCTCCTCCACCTCCTCCTCCTCACTACTGACGGACAGCAGAGGAGAGAAGCAGCAACTTGTCATCGCTGTTGTTTTGTTGTTGTGAGTGTAAACACTTTTTCTCCACGGAGGAAGCGGATTTTCATTTTGATTTTGGGGGATTTTCATTTTTATTTTCTCTGGACGACTTGACTGCGGCTGCTCCGTCACAGTTTGAGAGTTGTGACATTTTATTTGTTTTTGTTCCTGCTAACTCCTCGAGCTGCTCAACCTTTCTTTAAACAGCCATGGAGTACTTTGATGGAAATGTTTCTGCAGGGAAATAAGGACCTCCACAACTGAAAGGTAACCCCAACTCTTACTGATACTAACAAGTTTAAAAGTTCTGCATGGACACTTGTCAAAACAGCTGATCTCCCTTTTGCCCCCCCCCCCCCCTTCCCCCCACCTCTGCAGCCTTACTTGTCCTGTTGGTAGAGATTGCATCAAGCCCTTCACGTGCCCCAGGTGTCCGTCCGCCTGAGAGAACTTCCATCTCCTTCCCTCTGGTCCAAGATGTCCAGGCAGCTCTCCCAGCTCCCGACCCCTGACCTCCCGGCCGGGGCGAGCCCTCAGTTTGGAAGCTGCACTCAGTCCCACACAGGGGGGCACGTCAACTCCATGGCTGGCCTCAAGTCCCTCCTGCAGCAGCCCATGAAAGGAGACCACCGCCTGAAGAACTCGTGCGACTCAAAAGGTTAGAACCATGAAGGTTACACACGTTTTTAGATGGTTATGTTATTATAAGTAATAAAATCTTCTTATGGCATGTTTAAATGCACAAACACCCCCATGTGCCACTGCACATGCCTAAAATGGCTCCCCCAATGGCCCAGATGAGTATTCCCGTGGATTATAATCCCTGCTGCGATTAAAAGTTTGCAGGAAGTGGCTGCACCGCTGACAGCAGACAGGTGCGTTTCATGGTCCTCCTGGTCCAGCGTTGAGACGGCCGATGTGAGATTTGTTCTGGACGTTTTGTGCGTCACAACAAATTGTTCTTTGGGCGCCGCAGCTCTGCCACCATCTGGTCCATCTGGGAGCCGGAGAAAATAAAGATACACCTGTCGCTCCATTTAGTCCTCACGCACATTTGCGAGGAGATGAACTCGAGTGATTGAAGTATCTGTGGAGAACCTTTGGTCCTGTGTACTCAAAGCTGATAAAAGTCACACGAGACGTTCAGTTTGTTCACATTCTCTTTATTTCTGTGCTCTCTTCAGACAAAGACAGACTGGACCTCGATGAGGACTCTTTGGGAGTTTGTTCCTTGAGGAACAGCAATGGAATGGTCGGCAGTAACGGCGGTACTGGTTGTGGAGGAGGAGGAGGTGGGAACGGAGGAAGCTTCAACCAGTTCCTGGGCCTGTGGGATCGGACCCTGCCCGCAGACGGCGGGCTCTTCCAGCTGCAGTACATGGACTTGGAGGAGTTTCTGACCGAGAACGGAATGGGCAGCGGGCACAACAACAACAGCTCCAGCTCGGCCCAGATCCCCTCGCAGAGCTCCCAGTCAGCGGTGCCCAACCAGAGCTCCCAATGCCTACCGCCCTCCTCCCCGCCCGGATCGTCGTCCTCGTCGCCCTCTTCCTCCACCTCCTCGTCCCCGTCCCTCATCGGTCTGGAGGTGGCTCAGCCGCAGAGTCTCGCCGGAGGATCCGACTATCTGCACGGTGAGCGAACCCCCCCCCCCCCCCGGCGGAGGTTTGAGACGCTTGGGTCGTGGCAGAAAGTAAAAGAAAAACAACTGACGGGGAAAGTTGACTGGTTTTATCCTTATCAACTCCCAGCAGCCGTGAGAGAGAGAGTTCTGCAGAGTTTACAAGCTGAAAGGGACACGATGTCCTACATGGCTGATGGGAGGCTATCCAATACTGGTTTGATCTCCAATCAAGGTTATGTGGTGTCTCTATTGCACCCGCGGGGGGTGGGGGGGTCGTTCAGTTTTCACTGAGGTCAAGTGAATTCCACGGTGACGAAGCACTTCTGTGGCCTTCAGGGTCAAACTGAAGGCACGAGGCCGTCACCAACTAAACTCAGGCTTTAGGTTTGTGTCGAGTGGCGCAGGTGAGAAGTGTAGCCGAAGAAATCAAAGTGGCCGAGGAGGAGAGAGGAGCAACAGAACTGAAAGTCCTGAGTCAACTTCGTAGCTGTGACGAGGAGGTTTTACTGTAGCTCGGCATGTGATCTGTGGACCACGGCGTACTCGCCCCCCGACCGACAGTTAATCTGCAGCGGGGTCAAAACACAGCTCAGCGACAGAGCAGCACAGTGTGCAGAGTGTTTGCAGTTGTGTGTCTTTAATCTCTCCCCGCTTCACACGCCACGGCCACGTGCACGCGTCGGTACACGTGCAGAGGCAGGGAGCACTGGAGTGAAAGAACGAGAGGCAGGCTCAGCGGAGCTGGAGGAGGAGCTGGAGGGAGGTGGAGGTGGGGGGAGCAACAGGAAGAGTTTCCCTCCCTGTGCTGCTGGACTTCAAACTGAACATTTAATCAACAAATTACATTTAGTCGACTGATTTACTCAGGAGGTGCTTTTCATCTTTACGGGTTATCACCTCTGGGTCTTCGGCTACAAAAGTACAAAATCATAAAACGTTTTTACTATAAGAACAAAAAAAGATACACAAAATCAGGGACAGTAAAAGTTATGCCTTTATGTCACTCTGGTGAATGTGAATCTTTCACCTTGAGCTCCACAAATGTTTGCAACTGGAAGTTTTCACAGAAGCATCAGGCTGCCCGCCACGTCTGCTGTGTGGAAACAACAAAATAAAAATGAAAACGCAGGTCTTTGCTGCGACCTTGGGCCCTTTTGGAACGCTTTGCTTTACGAGTTCAGAATTACGAGTCGCCACACATTCAACTACTTCTCTTTTAAAAAAAAAAATAAAAATCCTCCGGCTACTTTAATGCGGCCCAAAGCCCGCCAAATCCACTTTTCATGTCTCGAGTTTTAGAGTTGCCTTAAAAAATGCACGGCTGTCCTGTCTCCAACCCTGGAGGGAGCTCTAACACACTCCTGATGTTGGAGCTCAGCCGCAGAGCGCCGGGACTGAAGTCAACACAAAGATTTTGTTGATTATTTCAGGCGTTTATGTTGTAAAATATCAATAATAGACACGGACAGTGGGCAGCCTCTATCATTTCTAGCTTTGTGCAACATATTGTGCAGCTTGTGTTGGCACGTCCTGATTGTTTTTATTTATTTTTAATTCTTTGGCTGCTATGTGTCTTAACGAGGACGACGATTAGCTTGTTTGTTTACGGTGATGTTAAAGGTAAAGTTTGTGCAGTCAGAGGGATCAGAAGTCAGAGCAAGGTGCGTCTAACCTTAAAGGGACAGTTCAGATGCTTTGAAGTGGGGTTTTGTGGAAATTACGACTAATAAATATCTTACTTGTTGTATATAGCTCTTTGGATGGCCTTGGTTTTGCCACCACAAAAGGGGCGTTTAATTCAGGATAAACTGAGGAGCTAATGGCTAGTCTGAGCAAGGCCAGGAGTAAAGTGGACTGCCGCCATCTTGAAACAACTCCATTCTCAAAGCTTTATAGCGGTCCATGCAAGCACTAATCTTTAAATGTTTACATGCTGTCAGTTTCAAATTATATGTTTATTTCTGGTAGAAAATATTGTTATCTTCTCACTTGAAGTCAAACAGACTGCACTGGAAGTGCTACAGCTAGCTGTTGCTGCTCCTATTTGTGTTTGTAAATAACCATAAAACCTGTAACGTGGAACTGACAGCATTATGAAGGTTGATGCACGAAATGCCATGAAAACTTTAAGACTGGAGTTGTTTTAGGATTTAAGTTCTATTTCTCCAAACTGAGCTATCTACGACAGGTAAGATATTATTTGTTAATAACTATCTCAGAGCCCCACTTCAAGATCTGAACGGTCACTTTAACGTGGTTCATGAAACATTGATCCATGTACAGAAACCTTTTTTAAAAAATCCATGTTGAGATATATTTGGCACTAATTCTGGATTTTTGTTATAAATTTCTGTTTTTTTTATTATTGATAAGTTGTCGTTGATCTGATGCTTTTATGGTGTGGACAATAGAAGTTGCATAAACATCTTAAGATTTATTTTATCAGCGTAAAACTAGAAGTGTTTATTGATTGGCAGATTCATATTAAATTAGTTATAAAAAAGTCACCAATGCTGTGAGTCTTGTTTAAAACATTTTTTTTAGCTGTATTTGATTTATTAATACAACTAAAATGAAACTGTTAAACCCAAAATTTAAGGATTTATTTTTATACAGTAACTAGTTGCTCCATGCTGTTAGCCTTTTTGGTTGAATATATATAAGACCTGAATGTGTGATATTATATCTGAACTCATCTAGTTGACTTCAAACCTTGTGCTTTTCCATGAACTCTGACTGAAAAACAACAGCAGCTCTTTGAGCTCAGCTGCAGACTGCAGGTTCTGACCCTGAAGCTCTTTGCTGCCACCTGGTGGTGCTTCATCTGTACCACATCAACAATCACATTTCGGATCTTTGGGCTTTAATTAACACACAGTCCTTTTTGTTTCCAGGGAGTCAGACAAGCGTAAACGACTCGTGTGAATCGCCCTCTTCCTCCTCTTCGTCCTCGTGTCCACCTTTGCTGACGCCCACCAGCAGCGGGCCGGACGCCGCTGGAATGTTTGATGTGGACTCCTCGGACATGGGCGCCTCGAGCCAGCAGGACTTCGACCCCAGAAGGCACTCCTTCAGCGAAGAGGAGCTGAAGCCGCAGCCGATGATCAAGAAGGCCCGCAAGGTGCTGGTGCCGGATAACCTGAAGGTGAGGGTGTGTGTTCATCAGCGAGGACTTTAAAGATCTGGAAGTTAGATGCTTTGAGGTTAGAAATTTAAAAACATATAAATTATAATTTCAGGGTTTATTTTATTGATCGATTACAGAGGATAGTAAAAAATAAACACATCACAAACTAAAAAGATCACATATTTTCACACGTTGGGCTGTTAAAGGACCAAAATAAATCAGTTAAATTAACTTCAGATGTTTTTGTCTGGCAATAAACTGATTACGGTAGTTAATAACTTTTTAACTTACCGGTATTCCCATTAGCATTACCCCTTACCTATATAGCTACTATATGTCTGTTTTTACCTCGGGATCGTTTAATTTAAAGCTATAACGAGGAGAAGGTCAAATATTCTACTGCATGATGGGACATGTTTTCAAGAGGTCAACACAACTTGTGTTGTTGTTAGTTTGTACAAAAACACACAAAACCATATGTGATGTGTTAAATAGTAATCACGCCTGCCTCAGACTTTGCATGAAACATCATTTTATGCTTGTTATGAACAAAAACATTATCAAGTTAAACATAACAGCAGTTTCTTCTGAAAGTTCAGAATTTTTAGAGCTATAAAGCTTCTTTCACTTCCTCTACATCAGCATAAAAATAACATAAACGAGACCCGAAGGTTCAAAACGAACAGATAAAACCAAACGGTGAGCGGATAGGGTGAAATGGGATTCAGCCTGAGTCAAAGATCAACAAACGTCTCATTTAATTTGTTGATTGGTCAAATAATGATTAGATTTAAAGTAAAAAAATAAAACAGCAAGCACCATTACACATACGATAACAAAAGAACAGCTATAAATAGAAAAATGTGCAGCAGCCACAAGTAAAAACCTCAACTGAGGGAAGTATTGAGAATAAATAATGAATTAGTTACAGGTTCAGTAGTTTGTGAAAAGGCATAAAATACTGAGCTCGATGTTGAACATGCAGCTTTTCACTTCTGACAAAACTCTAAAGATAAGATGTAAAAAAGAAAAGTCCCACGCTCATTCACAGCCAAACGCCCACATTCTCACCAACAAAGTGGAAGTTTGACTCGTTGAGTCTTTTTTTCTTCAAGTTTAAATTTGAGCTCGCTGCGAAAGCGTCCCCTTCAGGTGCTAAAATAACCGAGCGTTTGTCCTCTTCTTCTTGAAGGACGAGAAGTACTGGACCAGGAGGTACAAGAACAACGAAGCGGCGAAGCGCTCCCGGGACGCTCGCCGTCTCAAGGAGAACCAGATATCCGTGCGCGCCGCCTTCTTGGAGCGCGAGAACGCGGCGCTCCGACAGGAAGTGGCGGAGATGCGGAAAGAACTGGGCCGGTGTCGCAGCATCCTTAGCAAATACGAGAACCGTCTGGCCGACCAGTGATGGCGGCGCCGAGGAAACTCAGACGTATAAGCTGGATTCAATTTGAGACTCTGGAATTTCTCACGATGGACAGAACGAGGTCAAGATGATGATGCTGATGATGATGATGAAGAAGGAGGGGATTAAATGATGAATGTATAAGACGAGGAACAGGTTTGCGTACCGAAGCTCAGGTGTCGGCTCTTAAAAGTGAATGACGGAGAGAATAATTTAATAGAAAACACACACAAAAAAAAGACGTGACTTTTAAGAGTTTTGTTATTGGAAAATTGTATATTTTTGTAATACTTCAGAAAAATTTAGCGGGAGAGCAAATCTGGAGAATAATTTTGTATATTTTCTACGTGTTTGGGACACAGAGATATAGGGGGAAAGCTAAACACTTTATTTCAGACGAGTCAGGAGCGGCCATCGACGGTTAACTTTTGTTCTGTTGTTGTTTTTCAACTTGACGGTCATGATGCTGCAGCAGGGTTGAGGGCGCGTGTAACAAATGTAATATAGAGAGCAGAGTTATCTTAAAACCATGTAGTTCAACAGTTTGTGGATTTTACTCGAGCACTTCTTCGTTTTGTTTCTCCTGTCGTGTGTCCGTCACTGGGCATGCTCTAAATCAGACAGAACGGACACGATGTAAACAAGTTCAGCACTATCAACTGTTGTCTCGTGTTTTGTTTTTTTTATATAACATTTACAGCCTTCGTAATCTTTATTATTGTTTTTTTTTTTTATTCCCCAAACATTTTTTTTGCTCTTTGCACCTTGGGTTTAACTCGAGTCCTCGCTATATTTGGATCAGTTCTTCTCCTTCCCCGAGGAGTGCTTTCAGTCCACTCTGGTGTTTTGTGCTGGTGAAAGCCCCGGGTCGTTCTACTCCTCTGCATCCTCTTTGAATCGCTCTTTATGTTCCTATAGCCATGTCTATTTCTGTCCACACCCCCCACAGTCACGTGCAAACTCTTCCTGTAAGATGTATACTCCTATAGTACACGGGAGTATTTAAAACTGTGTTTGACATAGTAATCAACCCCCCTCGGTAAGATGCACTTTGCTAATTTAGTGTAATAAATGAACACACTTTAATTCTAAATGGGGGGAGACAAATGTTGCGTATATCGGCCGGAAAGGTCGATACGGTTGTATGTGTTTTTCAGGAGATGGGTTGATTATTCCCATTGAGTGGAAAAGTGTTAATTTCTCAGATTTCTGGGAGAAATAAAAAGCCAAAATGTCCTATTTTAATCTAAACTTGTTGGTATTTAGTGTTTTAAATTTCCACACCATTCTTTTTATTTTATTTTACCGTATCTATTTACCCACAACACCGACATGGGCATGGAGTGTCATGTACCTGAGGGAGGGATGACTGGTATTAGTGGTTTTAATCCCTTTAATGACCACCATGAATAGTTACCATTACAGCTATAGTTATTGTTATTATGATTATCCTTCATGGTTATTATTCTATGATATTGGATGGTTTTTTTTTTTCTTTCTTTGGATGGACACGATTCATTGCCTCCATCTTTTGAGTGTTCCTCAGAAAGACTTTCAACAGGAGGAAAACAAACCCAGAACGACCCTCGCCCACAGACATTCTCACTTCTGCCCTGGACTCTCCTCACTCGGTGATTGTTTGCTCTTCTAACCGGAATCTGTTTCCGCCGTCTTCACGGATGTCGTCGATAAATCCTGTCTCCTAACTGATCAACTGCTCTGCTGCATCAGTAGTGTCCACCAGTCTGAGCTGAGCTGAGGCTGTTTTTATTCTTTGGTGTAGTTTAAATTTACCCACCCTCCTCCCAAATAATAATAAAAAAAAAAACACCAATAAAAGATTGTTCTCATTCACTGCCGCTCTGTTTTTCTTGAGTGTTTCACGAGAAGTTTATTCTTGCCTGAAGGGATAGTTCAGATCAGTGAAGAGAAAGTGACAGTTTCTGAACGATTATTATATCGATGGTGTAGATATCCGTTTAAATGACCCGAATTGGAGAATCCGACCATTAACTGACACTTGCTCCGTAGTTATGTCAGGCGGCAGTGGTTTGAGCAGCGAGGACCAGACTTCGCTTTTCAACGCCACCTCTTCCAGTTCTTCTAGGACTGTTGGATTAAATAAATACCCTTTCATCATCTGCTTACTCCTGGTAGGGTCTCCCAAGACAGATTGGTCGTAAAGGACAGGACAGACCAGGAGTGATTTACAACAGTTGTCTGGATAGAGGACACCAAGGAGTTTAATATCGCTCACCTGAATGTAGGTTACAGGGCCCGATCTGGAGCCAGGTCTGGAAGGAGGGCTTGCTGGAGAGCACCTGGTGACTGGGCTTCTACCCATGGGGTCCGGCTGGTTTTAACCCGAACGGGTTCACCTTCCTGGTGTCCCACCATCTGCAGGAGGGACCATACGAGTCCGGTGCATAGTGCTATGGGCTGCAGCCAAAGTTGAGGACCATGGTACTCTGACCCTATATCGCCAAAGCTAACTCTTGAGTTGGAAATATAGAACTTAATGAGTTGATGAGCGAACGTCTCAAAGTGTAGCCAAGACCAAAAGACAGTTTCACTGAGCTGCGGACTGTCGGACACCAGTTGGACAGCGGCGTCAGTGAGCGAGTCTCTAAAATGTCTTGCAACTTTCGTGGTGATTCTCAGTGTCTTCGCTTGGGTTCACAAAGGTTTGCAACCTTGTCATGGGAATTTTAAACATGTTAAAAAATTGTTTGCCTTAATTTCTCTCAAAATAGTCACAGAGTCATCATGGGTGTCTCAAACTCTTCTTCAACCTGTCTAAAGAGTGCTTGAGCCGTATTTTGACATCTTTATAAATTCTCTTGTGATAGAAAACATGTCCAGGTGTAATAATAACCACGCAGAGGAGGAATAATAACTTTTAAATAGAATAAATAAATATAAAACACAAAATCAGATTTCAGTCGTCTGGATAGTTTCTTTTTTGTTGAGACGTTTCGTCCTTCATCCAAAGGACTTCATCAGTCTAGGGAGCCACAACGAACTCTGTCCCACAAGCAGCACACTCCCATAGTGGGTCAACCATCTTATCACCAGCAAACTGGTTGGCCCACTATGTGAGTGTGCTGCTTGTGGGACTGAGTTTGTTGTGGCACCTCAGATTGATGAAGTCCTTTGGACGAAGGACGAAACGTCTCAGCAAAAACAATTAACCGTCCAGATGACCTGACTGAACTTTGTTGGATTATTTACCTGGATTCTTGAACATGAACTCTGACGACTTAAAATCAACTACGAACACAAAAATAAGACACAAGACACAGCTGCACTGATCACTGATAACTCATAATCAATAAGACTGCAATGAATAATTTGCCTATTCTTACAACATTGAATGAAGTTTGAGTCATCAACAAATCTCTAACCAGTGAGCTACTGCTTTAAGTGGTTGACACCATTTTCAAAAATCATTGTGGGTCATACGAATGCTATTTTATAAATCTTACACTTTTATTGTGAAAAAAACCAAAAAACATTCTAATAGTCTAAAAAAGCAGTGCTAGCTTGTTACAGCTAACTAGCTCTTGGTTATTAGCTACGGCTGCTGCTATTTGTTCTTAAAATTCTCTGGAAATAATTCAATTCAATTCAATTCAAAAATACATTATTAATCCCAGAGGGAAATTACAGTAAGTGTTGTCGTAGCTCATCATCCTGGGTTCATTCAAGAGTTGTTAGATGCTGATAGCTGTGGGAAGGAAGGATCTCCTGCAGTGAATCTGAAGGATCTGGCCACAGACACCAATCCGTCCACCCAGATTCGGCTTGCCGTCAGATCCGGCGGGCCTCTTGGTCCTCCTGGGCAGCAGGACTGCCCGACTGCTGGACAGAATTCCTCCCTGAGCGATGGTCACTCCTCCCAGCAGTTTGCAGAGCTCCTCGTTGCCACAGACAGACAGCTGAAGGTGCCGGGGGAAGATCCCGGTCCTCCTGATGTCATGAGTCGAGTTTCCCACCAGCTTCAGAATCTCTGCAGTCAGGCACTCGAGCACCGCCGTCAGGTTGACTGGAATTTGTCCACGGAGCCTCCTTTTCAACTCATTTGGGATTTGATGGTGTAGTTGAGGTATTTCAGCTTTTGAGATGTTAATCAGCTGCTCCTGGTTGTTAAAAAACACCTTGTTGCCATGGTTACGCATCATAACAAACGCCCCAAATTAAAAAAAAGTTTCAGGTAAAATCCTTCCAGCTGCACAGCATCCGATACCAGAGGAAATAATCATCCGAAAAAAGTGATTTACATCCAGAAAAAGAAGAACTAAAGTTTCCAAAAGCAATAACTCAGAATGAAAGTAACAGAGCTGCTCCAACATGCAGCCACCTTGAGCGGCGCAGTTCTAGAACTTACTGTGTAATGCAAATTAACAGTGATGCAAAGGTTTATAATAAAACCCTTTTTGAACGAACCACTGTAAAGTTTTGAGATTAGAATTAAGATGAAAGCTGGTTTCAGCCCCGCTCGGACTAGCTGTAGCTGCTAGCTTCTTAATCCAGTCAGAATTAGCTAATTTTCTCCAAGGGGTTGTCTAAACATCTGTCTACATTAAGATTTGAACTTTCCCTTTAAGATTAGTCTGTAATTAAAGTCAGTTCTGAGAGAGAGAAGGGCCACAAAGGTCAAAGTTCACTCTGATAACCAGACTATGAGATGTCGTAGGAGATCCCGAGGCTACTTATATTTTGAGACACTTCTTGTTTGTCCACATTGTGTGCGTTCCAAAGCAGTGCAAAAATGCAGTCCTGCCTTCCTCCTTGAACACTGAACACAGTTTACAATTGTTTGTTGCATTCACAAGTATGAAACGATCATAAATGATCACTTCACCCACGTGGGGTGAAGGTGAGCTGTGTTGACAAAAGAAAAAGTCAGGATTTCAGGGCAGCGAGCCAGAACAGGCGGCAACGCCGAGCAGCACGTGCAGGAAAACAAACAGGAGGTGAAATCCACCAATTTCCTCCTTCCATGACGTTCCTCGCGTGAGTCGGTGCAACCTCCGTGTCCATGTCATCCCCTCTTTATCTGCTGCTTTAACAGAAATGGGTGAAAGGTCCCTCACAGTGGAATTTTCCTTGCTTCTTTCCTCCTCAACACAATCCAGATGCGCTCTCCCTCCCTGGTTCTCTGAACCCCCCCCCCCCCCCCCCCATCTCTGGATCTCTTGCCCCCCCAACACACCACCTTTCTTTCAACCGATGTCACCCCACCCCTGTTTTCTTTAAAAATGCTGCATCTGTGTTTCCTTCGCTCATTTTATCTCAAGCCTGTCTTTGAAGCATGGACTCTGCACCACTGCTGCTCCTCCTGTGGGCTCTGACTGGACCAGTGTCGCTGCAGTCTTCAGGTAAGACACCTTTACACCCCCACCCTCCACTGCTTACATTTGGGGCATGACAGATCCACACACCAGAGACAGCAAGACCAACAATAAATAGTGGGAATAAATGAGGTCAAAAAAAGTTCCTCGCTGACGGGTAACTTTTAGCTTGTTTTGATGTATCTGGATGCACCAAGCTGCCAGGGTTATGGTAGTTTTAATAAATATCAATGAACACATCCAAATTAGTGATAACTCAGAGTCACTGCGGCTTTTCAAAATGTTTGTCCAGTTGATACATTTTATGCTGCAAGCCGCTATAAGCTTACACATCCCCATATACTGTATCTTTAATGTAAGCATCACTCGTCGCCTTACTGCTTATGGTTTCTACGATGTAGAAATATTAAAATGAGTTGAGGCCTCTGAGAGTTTGAAACAAAAATCACTTCATATTCAGACGAACGATTGAGATCTTTGGTCAAATCTTCAAAGTGACGTGCGATCTTGTGCGACATCGTGCGACATCGTGCGACATCGTGCGACATCGTGCGAAGCCGTGCGAAGCCGTGCTCAGAGTAAGTGTTGCGAATGACTCTCAGATACTACCACATCTGATGTTAGCGTCAAAAAGTCATATACCGTAATTTTCGCTGTATAAGTCACAGGTATTTTTTGCATAAATTAGCATGCCTTCGACTTATTTATGTCTCCCCCCATATTTATAGCCCAAATTTTGGCTGAGATCTGATGATTTCATTCATTCTGACATGGAAATTATTGAACACTACCATTTCCAGCCACTAGAGGGCCCTCGACTTGTATGGCAAGCCAAGTGTCTCATTAATAGGTCAAAGTGGCTGTTAATGAGACACTTGGTTAGCCACCTTCGTCTCGCTCTTGTGTACTGGAGCAAACGTCAAATCAGCTGCACTTCACCGTGCCGCCCAGGTGTTAGCCAACACTTTTGTGTAACACCTTTACTATAATGTCGAGCAAACAAATAATTGTTTTTAGGTGAATATCTTGTTAAATTTAAAAGAAATGCACAGTGAGTCCTCCCGTGCACGCTCCCACAGCCGCAAATCGGCTTTTGAAATGCAGCTGATTTGACCATTAAAGTGCATTTATTAAGGAAAAGTTCAACTGAGACACAACTTTACTATAACGTTGAGCAAACAAATAATTGTTTTTAAGTGTTAATCTTATTAAGTTCTTGTTAAAGTCCTCCCGTGTACGCTCCTGCGGCCGCCATTTGGCAGCCAATCGATTTTTGGCAAAACACCGGCCCACATTTGTATGGCTGCGAGTACGTTGAACAGCTGTGGCGGCAGCTTGAATTGGATTGACTCCAGAAGTTAATCAGTTGTAGCGGTACATCCAGTGATTACTGACTGCAAGTTGAATTGTTTCATGAGATATTTTGCTAACAGTCCAAATAAGTTGACTCCAGTGGTTAATGGCAAAGTTTTAAAACCTAACCTCGCTCGATCTGTCATCATTCAGCGTATGAGTTGAGAATCAGCCTCAGCTACCATCACACCAAATCTTAGCTCAATCTGTGTATGGCTGACTGAGTTAGAACTATTTTTGTGCAGTTTGATTAGCTGTGGCGGCCATCTTGAACTGGGTTGACTCCAAAAGTTGAACGGTTGTAGATGTGTATCCTGTAAGAACTCCATGAAAATAGCAAATTATAACAAAATCCATGCGTTAAATATCTGCCATCCTGTGTAGGTAGTTTTTACCGGGCCATCAACACAGATTTTTATCTACTTAATTTAATTTTTGCACTAAGCAAAACTGGCAAACAGTCTTGTTTTGGCTCTTAGTGGCTCCATACAAAGAAGCCATGAAAATAAACAAGTGTAAACAACGGGACAACAACTGTAATGCTGTGATAATGTGTGGGTATGACCACAGAGCCGTGTCCTGAGAGACTTCTGGGACAGGAGGGGAGGAAAGCGTGTCCTCGGTCCTGCAGAGCTGACAGAGACTGTGCCAGCAAGCGCCAGTGTCTGTGTGACGGCCAGTGTGGTCTCAGCTGTGTGGCTCCAGGTAAAAACAGCACATTTGTATTCTTCTGCGCTCCCGGTCAATAAAGTGACAGTTCAGGTCTTTTGAAACATGGTTCTGTTGAAAGGTTCAAGGCCTACTATTTCTTTCATGTCAGATTTAAACAAACAAAAAAAATGTTGAAAAGGGACAAAGTTGTTACCGTCTTGGTCAAACCTTGTACAGTAAATGACTTTATGAGCAATCTTTGGAAAGTGAAATCTCATAAGACGTGTAAGTGTTCAAAGTATGTGTTGAAGAAAACTCTCAGCTACAACCACACCAGATTTCAGTGCAACATCTATAAAACTGACTAAGCTAACCATTTTCTGCATTTGCAAAGGTTAATTAGTTGTGGCATCCGTTTTAAATAAGGTTGATTCTTTTCAAAACGACTGGTTTAAGTGTTTAAGCTGTACATCCACTGATTGCTTTGAGTTTCATTAAAATCTCTCCAGTGGTTCATCAGATTTTTTGCTGACACCAAAATTCACAAATATTCACAAATATGTATTTACTCAGAAATCCACAGAGATCTTTTCAGTTCTTTCAAAAACATTGTTTTCTTTAAAAATCTGTTTCTGCATATTTGCTTTAATTTTGTCTTCTGCTAATTGTAGTTTTTAGCTATACCTTTTTTTGCCACTTTTAGTAAGTATTTACAGTATTTAGCTTGTATTTGAAATATTTCTTTTGAACATGAAAATAAATATACAGAACATATTAAACAGAAGAAAAGCAAAATATCGGTACATTTTTTAATAGGCAAAAAAACTACAGCATAGCTATTTTGCTAATTTTATAGGCATGTCATACTTTTAGCTAGCTTTTTGCTACTTCTTGCTTTTAGCTATTGTTTGCTACTTTTAGTTTTTAGCTATCTCGTTGCTAGATTTGGCATTTGGTAGCCTTTCCTACTTTTAGCTTCTTTGGTCTTTTTTATAGTTTTTTTGTTGCTACATTTTGATTTAGCTACGCCAAATTTTAGTTAGCCCATAGCTACTTTTAGCTTCTATCTAGCATGTTGATTATTTTAGATAATCTTTTGATACGTTTTGTTTGAAGTTATCTCTTTGGGTTTTAGCAAGACTTTTACTACACATTGCTAGCATTTTAGCTTCTGTTGCACCACTTTTCAGTTTTAGGCATCTCAATCCTACATTTTTTGAGTTAGCTCTTTTGCTACTTTTAGTTTATATCTAGCATTTTTCACATTTTAACAAGCCTGCTACAGTTTTTCTACTTTTAAGTTTTAGCTATTTATTTGCTACATTCAGCTTTTAGCTACCATTTTAATATGTTAAACTGTCCTTTAGCTACTTTTAGTTTTTATTAGCCTTTTGCTACATTTAGCTGACCCTGTTTTTAGCTACTGTCTTGCTCCGTATGGTTTATAATTAGTTACATTTAGCTTTTATCTAGTGTTTTGCTTCTTTTATCTTCTAGCTAATGTTTGCTTCTTTTAGCTGTTTTGTTTCTTCCAGCTTTAGTAATTCAGTTTCAGCTTCCTCAGCAGCTTTCAGAAGTCGTTCAGCTCTCAGTATTCACGCTGCATTTTCAACAAAAAAAAAAAAGAAGAAGAAGAAGCATTTTCTCCAGTTTTTTAGTTTTTCCTTCTTGAACATTGGACCTGTTTGCTGTAAAAAGGTGTCTTGTACATGGCAGCCATTTTAGTTACGCAGCCTTGTTGGTGTTTTTCTTTAAAGACATTTGTTTTATTATGATTATTTTTGTGTTTGAAGGAAACAGTCCAAGTCATTCTAAGAATTGTTCTGTTTCCTCCCTCTGGACGGTTTCTCTTCTCCTCAGGTCGTACTTGTCCCTGGCCTCTTCCCCCGAGTGAAACCTCAGAAGCGCGCCTCCTCTCTCCCACTCCGGCCTTCTCCGCCCTGCTGGAGGTGCGCTGCAGGCCTGGCCTCACGTCGCCCAGCGGCTCAGATGTCGCTGTTCGCCGTTGTCAAGGCGACCGGCAGTGGAGTGGGGATGAACCCATCTGCACAGGTGGGTTTGTGTGTTCTCTGTGTGATGATAAAAATGCAGAACAGCAGAAGGAAGACAGCGGTGCCGCTAACGCTTTTTATTCCGTATTGAGAGTAAACATGTTGACGAACTGTGGCGGAGGAACAAGCTCTTTGTGTTTGTGTGTTCAAACAAGTCAGACTGGGGCAGACACACAGGACTGAAACCCCTCTGCGACTGTGTAGACTCAGACGTTGCACAACCGTGACCCATTCTCCCCGTCGTCATGGCAACCGCACTGTTCAGCTTGGCCGTCTGAGGGTTTTGCTGCTGAACTGTCGACGGGTTTTTAGCACGTCGCTTGAAGCTAAACACTTGTGCGCTCGTGAGTCATAAGTTCGCACACGTGTGCACATGTGAACAAGATATGTTTGCTGTGTTTTTCCAAATATTATTTACTTGTTTTAGGTTGTGGTTTGTTGACGTGGAGTGCATAACGGGTAACTTCCTGGTAGCCAGTGAATAAAGGTATTCAGTGGCAGCTATAAAATGTAAACATTTAAAAAGTTATCCCCAACTTTATCAAATGGTGCAGTTTGAAGGTGTTTACTCCAGTAGTTTTCCAGATATATCCATATGAAATTATGAAATACGGGTGCACATTCAATGTAATCAAAGGACTTTTTGTACAAGTACATCAAAATAGTTGGATTTCCATCCATCCATCCATCCATCCATCCATCCATCCATCCATCCATCCATCCATCCATCCATCCATCCATCCATCCATCCATCCATCCATCCATCCACCCATCCATCCATCTTCCATTTTTGGGTCACGGGGGTCGCTGGTGCCCATGTCCAGCTATCACTGTGGGGGACACCATGGACAGGTCTCCAGTCCATCACAGGGCCACATAGAGACAAACGAGACAAACAACCATTCACTCTCTCACTCACACCTAGGGACAAGTTGGGTTTCTCCATCCCAAACAGCTCGTCCACAAACGTTGCCATTGTTGACCCATTTTGAGTCACTTTGGCTGTTTCCAAAAGTATAAAAAAAACCAACTTGTGGTAGTTTGCAACTGTTTTCAAGTTTTGCTTACAAACTTTTAAATTTAGATATACATTAACCTTCAATATGAGAAAGAAAATAGGATTTTTTGGGTTTCTTTGTGATTTTATTTTTTTGACCGATCTGTAGGTCATTGCAATAAGTACCTCCAACAAAAAGAAAATATTGATAAAAAAAAAAACTAATACATAAACAAAAAACAAAAAAAGGCATTAAAAAGCATGCAAAACTAAAAAGTTAAAATAATTTTCTTAAATTGTTTATAATAAAATCTTTTGATTTCCATGATATTAGAGCAAAATATTAGTAAAAAAAAAAAGTTTTTCAATTTTTATGTCCTATATTGAACTTTAACGCTCATATCGGCCGGTATCGATACCATGCCGATAATATCGTGCATCCCTAATTACTGGTTTAATAAAAATGCAACAACAACAACAATAATTATAATGGCTTCAGTTTCATTTTGTTTTTTTATTGATATGGTAAACTGACCATAAGGTTGTAAGTTCTAACAATTTTTAAAAATATAAATAAGAATTACACAGTAAATACATTTTATTAATATTTTTTGAAGTTCAGGTAATAATTAAAAATAGCATGTTCATAAAGTAATAAACTAATAATACAAAACAATACAAACATATTGTATTATTATTAAAAACAAAAGTAATTACAATAAAATAGTAGCTTCATTTAAACATAAATCCAGTAATAAAAAGAGTATATTACTTTCTGTTATTTGTTGTTTAATCATGTTCAGTTTAAGAAGTAAGACATTTTATTAGCTCTGTTTGTTTGTTGTTAAAAACGTATCAACTAAAAACTTATATTAACAGTGACGGTGGTGGGCACAGTTCTACTTATCTATTCAGACCGGAATAAATTTTTCGTTTAGCGGATTAGCTTTTTTGCTAATTTTGTAAACTGTTAACGGAATTAGCTTCCACTAAATTATGTTTCACCAACTTTAAGTCCGCTAACAAAATTCACAATTCACCTGTCTTGTGGGCGTGTCTCTAGGAGTCAGTTAGTCACGCTATTGGCTTATTATGTGCATGTGACAAGACAATTTAGCATAGGCAATGATTATTTTTTAATTAGCGTAATATGGGTTAGCGAAGCTAACTTTTTGGTCAGCTACTGCCCACCACTGAACAGTTATTTCAAATAAAGAGCTGCAAACACATTTAATAAAGGAGATAATAAAATAACAAAAAGGAAATTAACATATATATTAATTTATAGCCAAAAGAGCTGTTATTGCAAATATATTTTTGTGTTTGTGAGAATGAGCAAGGGACACTAAATTGAGCAGATTCCTTTAAAACAGCATCAGTCCTATGGTTGTTTACAGCTTCTAAATCTACCATTTGTCAGAACTACTTCTAAACGTCCAAATGGCTTCTCAAAAAAGTCTCTTCAGATCTCTGACCTCAACCTGCCACTGCTGACAGTAACATAATTATGCTTTTACGGTCTGCAGCATTATTCATTTACTTCCAGTGGTTCTGAAATCCTCCACCCAGCTGCTCTCGCACTTAAGAGTTTATTTAAAATCTATTTAAAGTTGTGAAACAAGGATATAATTCTCAGCTCCCTTGTGCAGTATCCCAGCACTGATAGACAGGCAGAAGGTAGGTGAGCTTCAAATGTGCGAGTGTGTTTGTGTTGCGTGTCCTTTGTGTGTGTGCGTGGTTTGCTCATGCCTGTCGAGAGGCAGTGGGCTGCAGATTCCTGTCAAAGTGGCACCGAGCGTCACTATGTGAGTGTTTACCAAGAGGTATGGCGAGGTATTTTTCTGGGTAGACTGGATGTGTTTGGGGGGGTGGATTGCACATGTGTCACACAGTTTGTGTGTGTGTTTGTGTGCGTGTGTGGGCGACAGATCACAGTTAGGAAAGTCAGAGAGCTCTCTTGCTCATGCAGCTCCAGGCCTTTCTTCTCCCTGCTCTCCTCTCATCCTTCTTCATCTGAGGCCTCTGATAAGGTCTTCTTTCTACAACGGGAGCCAAGGACGACTGTTCAGCTTTAGGCTCTTTAGTTGTGGTTGCATGTACAGTATATGTTTTTGTGTGTGCGTGTACAACAGGGAAACACACACACAAAAACAGCCGAGCAGACCTCCACGTATTCTGTCAAGTTGGTGCATTCCTATTGCCTGGCGCTGGAGGCGAAGCAGCAAAAAGGTTTTTCCTCATTGATGTGCAAAATATTTCAAGAACCACTGGATGGATTTGAACAAAGCTCGCACAAAATAATAATTGAATGTCCATCTACAAGTCTTCAACATTTGGAGCCAACCCAATTCAAGATGGCCACCACAGCTAATCGACATCGATAAACACAAAAAAGGGATAATTTGGTCAGTTTTGCAGATATTATGCTAATAGTTGGTGTATGAGTGTCATGCTCAGTGCATACTTTGAGCATATTGAAATATTTCACAACAGCACAAGATCACATGTAGTAGTTTGCAAAGTTTGACCAAAACTCCATCTCTATCTCCAACCGTTTATTCAGTTCATGTTCACGTCAGAACATGGAGTCAACATTAGGCCTGTCACGATAACAAATTTTGCTGGGCGATCAAATGTCTCAGAAATTATTGCGATAAACAAAAATATTTTTTGAAATTTGACAAAAAATATTAAGCATTGTCAAATTTATGAAGAAATGTTGGTTTATTTTTGTGTGTAGTACCATTTTTTGATCACCGGATGGCAGTATAAGACAGTTTGAACTGAAGGATGGATAGCGAGGGAGCGAGTAGCGTGTATCTAAGAAAAATGGGAGGGAGGCCCCTGGACGTGACATGGGCTGTCTCTCTTCAGTTCTAGTAACATACCTAGCATTTTTCACACAAAGCTTTTAGTAAAAAAAAACAGTAAACAAGTTTTCAGCTTCTTATTAAGAGAAAAACAAGTTTTTAGACGAAGGCACGGGTTTCAACTGTGAATTTTGGAGCTTTGACAAGACGGAGGTTTTGTTCCTGACGTCGGCCTGTTAGCTTAGCTCGTAGCTTTGATGCTTTTAATCATCCAAAATAGCAATTTTGGATGATTAAAACACATTTTAAAGAGAAAAGAGAAAGGGAGGAGTCAGTCGATAAATGAAAATGTGGATGATAATTTTCATTTATTATGCGATTAGTTGATTTATTGTTTATTGCGACAGGCCTAGTCAACAGGTCCTGGAGCGAAACCTGGATATGTCTCTCTCCATGTCCTCCTGACGGACGCTGAGGAGTTCCCAGGCCAGAGAAGACATCCAATCCCTTCAGCAAGTTCTGGGGCCTCTTACCAATGGGTCTTGCCTGAAAAGTCTCCAAAGGAAACATCCGGGAGGAATCTTTATTAGATGTCGAATCACCTCAACTGACTCCTTTCGATACGAAGGAGCAGCGGCGTTACTCCAAGCTCCCCCTAAATGACGGAGCTCCAAACCCTCTGTGAGGCTGAGCCGCCCTACAAAGGAAGCTCATTTTTGTTCTTTCGGTCATGATCCGTAGTGAGGGTTGGAACATAGACAGACCAGTAAATCAAGAGCTTTGCCCTCAACACAACTCTTTGTTCAGCGCAACTGACCAAAGCAACGCCTTCATTACTGAGGACGAAGCCCCGATCCATCAATCACTCAGGAACAAGACGCCCAAATACTTGAACGGCCTGAGAACCATGGCCACAGACGTAATGACCAAAACTGCAATAACATAAGATGAACTTAGTTCAAAACTCTTTCATGAGAGGCGGCGGGTGATATGCATTCCCCAGGTTTTTAGTCATTGCTGGTTTTTTTCCATTCAAACTTGCAGTTTTATAGTTTAAAAAAAATGAATTTGATATACCTGATTCTCTGCAGTTTGGTGCCAGAGACTGTGTGGGTGGCAGGAGAGGGGTGGTATGTGAAAACAGAACTTGGCTCTCATCTGGAGCCAGACTCGTAGCGCTCTCCTTCTCCCATAGGTGCCTCTCCACTCTCACGTTAACGTTGCTCCGTTTTCAGAGGATAGTCCTCGGGCGAGAGCTGTCTCTGCCTTCTCAAAGCCTGCGTTCAGCTTCGAAAACTCTGCGCGCGATGCGGCTGAGGTCACTCCGGCCTCTCTCTCTGTCCAAGCACCACTCTTGATATTTATATTTCCACGAGCGCGAGGCACTCAGGCTGGCAGGAATGAACAGTGCCAGGAGTTATATAATCGCAGTTGAGCCCGGAGAGGTGTGAGGCGGCGTTTCTCTGGCTTGTCGAACTTTGATTTCTTACCTAAGGAGAGTTATTTGATCTGAAATAGAATGAGACATTAAGTGGAACGCCTCCGAGGGTCACAGAAACCCTGGTTTAAGCCAATCAAAGAGGTCTTACATTCTGTTTTATTCCTTGTTTCATTTCCTCTCAATTCATTTTTTTCCCTTTTTACTCACTTGGTTGTAGATTTTACCTGTAATGACATCAGCGCCAAGAAGAATAGAGGGTTTTCTGCATCTTCTGTGATTTCCTATGTTACTTGTTGAGTTTTGGTAAAACACAAGTCTGACTCTAGTACAGTGAGAGCTCCATCAGTTTTATAACTACTGAGTAAAGTCATTCAACTTAACGCCAAGGAAATATTTGGACAGCTTATTCAAGTAAAACTGCATTAAAATCATATAAAAATACTCCATTACAAGTCAGATATTTCTATGTAAATGTCTCCACAGTAAAAATACTTAAAAATATTTTGCAAATGCTACCCGAAGTATGAATAATTCTGTTTAGTACACTGTGTACTGCTATTTCTATAGGCTATAATGTTTTTTTTTAATGCATTACAGTTAAAGTAGTATTTAGTAAATACTATTTTAGGCATTAGTTCGAAGTATTACATCTTTAATCATCAAAGTGTGTATTTTTTATGTAAAATTACTGTGATCTAAAAGGGCAAATTACCATCTTTACATAAATGGACTTCCTGTCTCGGAGAAAAGAGGTTTAAAAATTTGTCATCGATCAACTAACAGCAGGGGAAATAGAGTTTTCTTGAAAAATATAAATACATTGGTCTTTGAAACGTTTTTGTATAAATAACTATATTTTTCACTGGTCTCATCTCGGCTCTCACTGACTCTACTCGATTAGTGGTTTTTAATATCGCTTGAACGTCCCACATCATCATTACAGGGACACCCAAAATGTCTGTAACAGTACTTTCTATCCAACTAATGAGCAAATAAGCAAAATAAAGTCACAAAATACTCATCATCCTCTGCTACGGTTTAGAAAAGTGCTGTGGCCAAGACTATCGATCAGAGACTTGAGACCATTTAGCAGCTCCATCAACAGGCATAAAAACATCCTCTGTACACCACGGTGTTGATGTACTTGATGCCATTTTAATTAGTATATTATTTATACGGTATTTTGAAAAAGTAAATACCAAAAACGAATGCAGCGGCTGCTATGTTTTAAAAATGGTGGGGTCGACATCATTCTCTGGCCAGGCAGCCAGTCTGCTGACGTCAACTCTTGAGCTCGGCTCGGCTCGGCTCGCGTGGAATCTCGGCCGAGCACGTTTTCAGAAGCGAGCTGGAAGCGGGAAGGACCACCTGATGATAAGACTCTGAAGCCTCGCCGAGTCGACCTGAGTAGAGTCGAGCCGATAGAAAAAGGCCTCATTAGAAACACCAAGTGGGTTCTTCTACTTGGAGTATTTTTCATTTTGTACTGATTCCAGTCCTCAGTTTACAGAGACTTTTGTCTCTTTTTTAATATATTCTTCTTCTTTTGTCTTTTCCTTCTTCAGTGTCTCCACAGCGAGTCATCCTCCTCCATCTCTGTCCTCACTCCAACTCCATGTCCTCTCTAACTGCATCCATTTATCTCCTCTTTGTCATTTTCCTGGCAGCTGCATTTCTAACATCCTTCTACCAGTATACCCACTGTCCCTCCTCTGGACATGTCCAAACCATCTCAGTCTGGCCTCTCTAACGTTATCTCCCGGTTGTTCAACCTGTGCTGTACCTCTGATGATCTCATTCCTGATCTTATCCATCGGTGTCACTCATCTTGATTTCTGCCTCTTTTGGAAGACACATGTGCAACCCTGTCTTTTTGTCCATGTCTCTGTCTCCAGACCATACAACAGCTGGTCTCACCACTGTCTTGTAAACTTTTCCTTTGCTAACACCCTCTTTTTATGTATAATGAAGGTCAACAGTGACTGTAGGTTTCATGTTCCTTCAGATACTTCCGCCTGTTTCCTCTGTCTAACAGTTGTTGTCCTCTTGAACTTCAGAGACTCGGTCACCTGAACGTGCCCCTGCTCAAACGTGCCCTCTGCCGGCAGAGGTGACCGACACCTTCAGCATCCACGGCGACACCTCTGCGGGGGCCTCGATCCGCTACAGCTGCCTGTCTGGGTGAGTGAAGCTCAGAGGAGCCGAGAGAGAAAAGGAACGGAGGAAGTGATGGACGGAGTGTGAAGAAGAAGACGAAGAAAGGAGGAGGGAGGCTGGTGTGATGAGCAATGAATGGCAGGGAATTCATTTTGATCTCCCAGCTGACGATCCCTCCATTGAGCTAACTGGGTCATTACAGTCAAATCTTGTATTGACTTCCTTTTACGCACTGACTCATCTCACAGGAAGAGACGAGGCTGAGTGGATGTGTCAGCCAGAACTGAGCACACTAACAGTCTGAAAGGGAGAGAGTTAGAAAAGGGATCAATTAAACTTTCTTTTTTTGGGTGTAAAGTCACTTTTAATGTCAGTGAAGCTCATTAAGCACCCCCAACAGCACATGTCACCCCCACCGTCTTCTTCCCGCAGGGCAGAAATGGTCGGGACGAGTGAAAACTTCTGCCAGGAGGATCAAACCTGGCGTTTTGCTCACCCCGTGTGTAAAAGTAAGTGTGCACAGTTATCCTGCGATGTGTGGACACGCGAGTGTGTTACATCCGCTTCACTCTCAGCAGGACTTTACGCACATTTCTTCTCCTCTCGTTTAAAGATTAGCAGGAAAAAAGACTGAATCATGTGTGAATGAGGCGAGAGACTGAAAACAAGTGTTAGTTTGGAGGATGTATTTTTCCATCTGCAAGAAACACACAGATTTGAAATGCAGCTCTCTTCTGCCCCCTTCTGGTGAAAGCTGAGATTTCTTGGCCTGATGGATCTGGAAAACAATTTCCACGATGATTTACATTTGGATTAGTAAATATTTCTTGAAGCACTGGGCAGATTTATCAGAACTATCAAAAAGTAGTGATTGACTATACGGCTACAACTGATTGGAGTCAAAACAATTCAACATGGCTGCCACAACTACGTGACCTTGGCAAACGCAAAAACAGCTGTAATTCACCCACCTTTGCAGATAAGGAGCTAAAATTTGTTGTGTTTGTAGCCAATTGGTGATTGGTGTGAACCTCTGTATGCCTGTTAGCAAAATATCTCATGATCACTGGCTGCAGCTATACAACTGATTCAATTTTGGACACAACACTTTTCAAGATGGCCACCATAGTCAACTTTAGTTGCTGAGGGCCATTCTTAACACAACTGAGCACTAACAGATCTCACATAACATTTACAGGGTTTGACCAGAAGGTTTCCACGTCGTCATTTCACAGCAAAAGGTCTTAGTCCGAAAGTCCTGCATGAACGGCAGTTGGCGAATAAAGATGCTGGTGGACATTAAAACGTACAACTCCGGAACAAAAGGGTCTTGTTAGGAATCAGTTCTTTCCTTCAATGTTTCAGAGATGTTCTGCCAGTCCCCGCAGGAAGTGGAGCAGGGCTACGTGGTTGCTGTGCAGAAGGCTGAGTACGAGGTGGGATTTGACATCCACTATCTATGCAGGAAGAACTACCTGCTGGACGGACCCCAGAAGATCACCTGCCTGTCAAACGGCAGCTGGAGCGCATCGCCGCCATATTGTAGAGGTGGGGAACAACTCGAGCGGCCTTTTTAACAAAACCAAAAGTGCACTTTCGGAACTTGTCATTGCTTGTTTTAAAAAAAAAAGTAGGTTCAGTGTATGAGCACACGCACGGAACACTAAGAGTCAGCGTTTCTGTTTCTGATGCCTTCAGCTCGCTGTGTCATCCCTGCTGAGAGGAGCCGCGTGGTGATCGGTGGAGTCAAGCGTTGGCCGTTTGATGTTACCGACGCCATGGTCCCCCACCGGGAAAGTGTGACATTTTTCTGCAAACATCCCCGGAAACAGTGCAGCTTCACGGCAGCGCAGACCTGCTTTGACGGGAGGCTGCACACACCAGGATGCTACCTTGGTAAACCTGCACCCGTTCGGTCCTCTTATCCCAATCTGCAGAACACTAGTGATTAAAATACAGCCTTTTGGTTTTAGAGCCCACATGGTTGCAGTATAAACTCTTCCCTCATCGGCTCGTCTCGGAAATCATGGCGTGTGAGCCCGGTGATGTGGAGTGACGACATCGTTTCAATCTGAACACACCAGCTTCACTGGGACCCCTCTGCAGTTTCACCGCCGCTTCATGCGCTTTGATTAGATGTGGTCTGCGGGATGCCAGTTAGATTTATTTTTACAGCTAATGTGAATTAGTGGTATGAACTCATGTAGTCGAGGGCTCGTGGGTCTGAAAGCTGCTTTCGGCTTTTGTCTTGCAAACTGTCAATAAATGCACAATTATGCATGAAATCATTATAATCAAGCAGAGCCTGCAAGTGTTCCTTCAGTCCTCCGGTGTAGAAGCAGCCCACTCTTCAACGTGATGTGGAGCATTAGTTTACACTGGAGCCTAAGTCCTGACTTGACCCTGTGGCATTCCACTGTGGTCATGCATCAAGGTCCTGAGGCTTGTAAGTTTTATAATGTGAGATTTAAAAGTAAAATGATGTGGATAATGGTTCGCTCTCTGGCTCTGACATACCTGACATGGCTGGTGTTACGGGGAAGAAAGGGAGCGTTTGAGTGCCGGTGCCATGTCTTGACTCCAATTATGCTTCGGATCAACAATAAACGCTGTTTTTACTATAAAATATGGATTCTGTGGCTGTTTAATGTAAAACGTGTATAGATTTTGTTGGGATTACATGTAACTTTCAATACATATATTCAGCCTGAATGATGTGAGAGCTGGAACTTGGACCATCACATGTACCTAAAGGTCAATAGTTTATTTGCTGGAAGGTGGACGGTCAATTAAATTGATCTTAACATAGTCTAAGATTTCTGCAACATCATTATTGTTCTTAAACAACTCTGAAAAACAGAAATACTTGTGACCCTGGCTGGCAAAATGATTAAAAATGAGTGCAGGCTGCAGTGCAATATAAAATCTGAAACCAGCACAATGGAGTAGTGGTTAGCACTGTTGCCTCACAGCAAGAAGGTCATGTGTTTAAGTCCCGAGTGGGCCTGGGGTCTTCAGAAATTAATTATATCCTTTAGTTTCCTTTTTAACTGACCACTTTTCTTTGCTGTAGCACCAGGAAATCCCTTCATATAATGTTTGGTGGCATTGTGAAGCTTGGGGATTTCCCTTTTACGCATGGGGACTGGAATTAGCCAGGTGTTAAACTGACAAATTTATAACAAATCACTTATCATTTTAAGGCTTTTGAGATGAAAAATGTGAAAATAATAACTCAGTATTGAAAACAGGTGTTTATGTGGCAGGACCTGCTATAACAAAATGTGGAAGAAAAAAAAAATATATATATATATCATTAGCTCATCAGTCTGGTGCTAACTCTGTTTCAGGTTCAATTATCCATAACAGGTAAGATACTGACGGATACTTATACAAGTTATTTTAAATTAGCTTCAAGGTTTTCTGTCAGTTGTTTGTCAGAAATTAAATTTAAATTGTAGGGTCATTCCAGTTTTTATTTATCGTTCGAAGTATGAGGCGGTACTCGCAGAACTTTCCGAGGTGGTACTCGTACCGTTACAAAACGTTTTAGGACCACGGCAGCAGTCCAAACCATGCACATATTAGCTACATAATCATAACGCTGCAAGAGCGCAGACATTACAGACAGCAGAGATAATTTCTTCAAAATAGGTCAGATAAAATATCCTGATGCATGCTCAATAATCCAGGTAGAAAAATCTAAAAAAGTTAAATCTGGTCCTCTGGACATTCAAAAAAAAAAAAACAAAACAAAGAAAATCAACAAAAAAAAAATGTAGAAACGTTTCGTCTCTCATCCGAGAGACTTCCTCAGTCTGAGGTGCTGTTTTCAGCTCAGTCTCTTAAATAGCACCGTCTCAGGGTGTATCAAACTGGTTGATCCACTCTGAGACAGTGCTATTTAAGAGACTGAGCTGAATACAGCACCTCAGACTGAGGAAGTCTCTCGGATGAGAGACGAAACATTTCTACTTTTTTTTTTTGTTGATTTGCTTTGTTTTGGTTTTTTTGAATGTCCAGAGGACCAGATTTAACTTTTTTAGAGGTCAGATAAAAGTTCATGCTCAACAATCCAGGTAAAAATCCAACAATGTTCAGTCAGGTCATTTGTACTTTTCTTTTTTTTTTTCTGAGACGTTTCATTCTTCATCCAAAGGACTTGTTTAATGTGAGGAGCCACCAACAAGACTCAGTGGTGGCTCAGAATGAAGAAGTCCATTGGATGAAGGATGAAACGTCTCATCAAAAAACAAAACAAACAAAAGAAACTGTAGATGACCTGACTGAAATCAGATAAGTACTTTTTCGTTTGCATTTAGCAACAAATTCACTCCAATATTTCCTTCAAAACATCTCGACTCTACCTTGTCTGAGCCAGACACCTTTGTTAACCTACACAGACCGGCCTAATGTACCGTATTTTCCAGCCTAGAAGTTGCAAATTTTTGCATAATTTTCATGCCCTATAACTTATACACTGAAGCGACTTATTTATGTTTTTTCCCCATATTTATAAACTAGTTTTTGGCTGAGATATGACCGTTATAATTAATTCTGACTGAAAATGTTGAACACTACCATTTTCAGCCACTAGATGGCACTCGAGGTGTATGGCATGCCGTTGTGTCATGTAATAGGTAAAAGTGGCTATTAATGACATAATCAGTTTGCCGCAGACTGTCACCTTCATTCAGCTCCAGGATCATGCCTGGAGAAACCGTCATATCTTCATTTCACTGCACCTCTCCGGCGAAATGCAGCTAATTTGACCATTGAAGTGCATTTATTAAGTAAAAGTTCAACTGAGACACACCTTTACTATAATGTCGAGCAAACAAATAATTGTTTTAGGCACTTATCTTTTTAAATTTCAAAGAAATGCACAGTGTTCCTACTTCCTGATTTCCTCCCTGTGCGCACTCTCGGAGCACCGAGGCAAAAAATACTTTTAAAATGCAGCTGATTTGACCATTGAAGTACATTTATTAAAAAACGTTAAACCGAGACTCACATTTACTATAATGTTGAGCAAACAAATAATTGTTTTTAAGTGTTAATCTTGTTACAGTCCTCCCGTGCACGCTCCTGCAGCTGCCATTTGGTAGCCATTTCATTTTGGCACAACACCGGCGCACACTTCCAGGTTGTCAGCGGTGACGTGTAATAGATGCAACGTATTTATGTTTTTTTCCACTGTATTAGACATATTAGAACTGATGCCACTTATAAGGCGGAAAATACGGTAGGCCAGTCACGTGGCTCAAAACTTACGCAGGCTTTTCAGTGAATTCAGCATTGTTGACATTGAGCGCGTACCCGCATTTTACAAATGCATATTAGTACATTTAGAAAACTGCCGCACCATACAGGACATTTTAAAGATTTGCTGCAGGGAGAACCTTCTGCTGACTCCACAACAGCTGAATACATGGACAGGTAGGGCTGAATGTCATTTATTATAATCTATTAGCACCAAAAGAAGAAAAGTGCCGACGTCTTCCGCCTCGCACCCTGCTCTCTCTGGCTCTTTAATGGCGCGCGGAGCCACGCGGAAGGCTGCGGGTTCAACTCCACTCATAGGCTGAGCGCGGCTCCTGCTCGGACCCGGTAGGCTGCGCCACCATAGCAACTCCCTTTGACCCCTCCCTCCCTCCCTCCGCATTCAGCATCACCCTTTTTTTTTTAACCCTGCACGGTCTTGGTCCTCCGGAAATCTCCGCAGCTCGGGTAAACCGCAGCCGGTGGAGGAGTTTTTATTTTCAAACGCAGCTTTTTTTATTTTAATTTTAATGATTGTAAATCGTGTCCGCTGCAGCGGGGGGGTCTGGAAATCCTCGCCGGGAAAGTTTGTCCTGACGCTGCGCGCTCGGCGCCTCTCGGACCCTCGGCTCTAAAATGGCTGGCTGGAGGTCCGAGGCGGAGCTCGCGTGACCGCACGGGCACGGATCTGTGCGCGAAGAGATCACACGACAAATGATATGAGACGGACTGTGCTCGGACGGTGTTGTCCCAGGTCCGAGAGCTGCCAGGAGCAACAGAATGGTTAGAATGGTTCGGACCCGGGACTGTGCGTAATGGCGCCGTCCACGGACACGGCTCGGGTTTATTCCCAGACATAATCTGCAAAATCCAAACGGCAAACATAATCTGAAATAAGCAGGAAAGGTTTGTGTTGCATGTTATTTCTCTCGCATCTGTGCGTCCCCCCCCCCCCCCCTCCTGTTAGAGGAAAACGCTAAACTGTGGATTCAGGAGGAAGCAGCAGATCTGATCTGATGTAGAGGAGGGAGGGGGGGTCACCCCCTCGTCTCTTCCTGGAGAATTATTGTGCATGATCTGTGTGTGTTCAGATTTGAATGATAATCTGTGATGAGTCTCATAATAATCCGACATTTAGTTTGAACCAGCACGCCTGTTGTTTGATTCTAATGTTGACACTTTGAGTTGTGACCTCATATCTTTCTGTCTTCATTCAGAAATAGGTATGCCCCAAAATGGATTCTCAGTTGGCCTCAGTCCTGACCAGTGGCAGCCTGGAAGTTCAAAATGGCAGCCAGCATGGAGAGGGACCAGAGGCAGGGTTCACTTTGGACCCAAAGGATAAAACCTCACCCAGCACCAAACCAGGTAACCTCAAGTCCTGCCTGAAAGCAGCAGTGACCATCAGGCAAGATGCTCCATCAATCAATGGGAAAAAGCCAGAGGTGGGCGGGGCTTGTGAGCCAGCCTCTCAGGAAACCAGTAAGATGGGTGGCTTCAGACGGCCAATTACAGCGAAGCCTGGAGGGCCTGCTCTGCGCGGGCAGCCAGTAAGAATCAAAATTGTGGTTCCTCCGGGGCGCAAGAAGCCAATCGCAGCATCGGCCATCCGACTGACCAAAGACTGTGCTGCTCCTCACGTGAAGGGGCCTGTCGTGCAGGATGTGATCGCGGGAGAGGACGGCGCACCAGCTGCTGGAAACGAAGCCGACGTCACGCAGGGTCTCTCTCAACGGGCACACGAGGAGGCGGACGCAGAATCATTCCAGGAGAGCAAAGACAGAAATGATCTGGACGTGAAAACTGTGCACGCCGACGGGTCAGAGATGGGTCTCGCAGCCGACACCGATGGAGTTAAAGAGCTGAACTGTCAGCGGGGCGCAGAGCGAGGAGACGAGCAGCAGCTCCCGCACATTTTGCACAAACTAAACTTGAAGTCTCTCAAAATCTTCGCCGAAGCGGCAGAGCAGACGGAACCGCTGGATCTGAGTTTGCCGAAGAGACGAGAAAGCCGAGCGCGGACTCACGGCCGCCTCGTGGGCGACCCCGCCTGCGAGAGCTCCCTGATCATGGAGGTGGACGAATACGAGGGAGACGGAGACAGGGACACGGTAGAAGAAGACAACACCGAGGGCCCTGATGGACCTCTGTGTCCCTCGTTCTTTTCCACCTCCGTCCTCGCGTCTCTGTCGTCCGTGGACTGCGACACGGAAAACCTGCTGCTCATCGACGACCAGGGGATCCCGTACACGCTCAGCCCAGACGGACTCAAAGTGCCGCAGGTCGACGCATCCACGTCGGGTCCAGTGACCTCGGCAGAGCAGGAAGAGCCGAGCTCAGCACATTTGGCTACATTAGCAGGTCCTAGCCTCAGCCAAAGTTTAGCTCGTGCGCTGAACACACCTGGTGTGTTTGACGCCTCAGCCGACGACCCGTCATCAAATGTCGGTGATCACATACGGACTCCTGAACTCTTCACACGCTTGCTGATGAACTCAGAGCCTCCGGAGTTGAGTAATGGTCAGGAGGCGGACACCGGGTCATCGCTGCCCACTCAGCCCGTCCAGATCCTCGCCAACCCTCCAACCAACCCCCCTCTTCTCCTCCTGTCTTCCTCCTCTTCTTCAGCTGGACTTTCGCTTCCCCTCTCAGTCACTCCGACCTCACCCGGTGCTTCCACACACATGCTACTCCTCCTCTCCGCTGTGTCCCCCTCCTCCGACGACTCCACCTCTACCTCCACCGCCTTCGCAGTCCTCGACCCCTCAACCGGTCAGCTGTCCCAGGTGACGGCGGCCTCGGCTCCGCTGTCGCTTCCTCTGTCCCCCGGTCACGTGGGCGGGCTTGGCCCCACGCTTTCTAACCCCATCCTCAGACTGAGCCCCAGCAGCTCGCCCCTCGTCCTGTCTGGGGTGAGTCACGTGACCTCCAGCCCCGTGCTCGCCTCCCTCGCCGTCCCCTCGTCCGCTCTGCAGGACAGCCACCTCAGCGCAGATATTCAGACGCAGCCCAGCTTCTCTGAATCCAGCGCAGGAAGTGAAGCCATATCTACAGAAAGGAGTGAAATCAAGAAGCCATCAACTCGTGCAACGACCTCGCCTCAGCCTGCAGCACCTGAGCCCTTAGCTCCGCCCACATCGCAGGTCATCGCCCAGTCAGCAGCCTCAGAATCCAAACGCGACTCCTCGGGTCTCCACTCTGAACATTTACCTCTGGACGACCACCTCTACTTCTCCAACTCCGCCGCTCCTCCCTCCCCTCCCATGGGACCCCTCCTCCCCACGGCTAAACTGGACCCCCTGGAGGCCCTGGACCCCCTCTCTCCGGAGGAGTCTCCCACCAATCTGGGCTCCCGTCGGGTGCTGTGCTGCCAGCTGTGCCCGCGGATCTTCTTTTACCTCTCGGATCTCGAGCGGCACGCCATCACGCATTCGCAGAAGAAGCCTCACGTGTGCCAGCAGTGCGGCAAAGCCTTCAAACGCTCCAGCCACCTGCAGGTCAGCGCCCCGCCCAGTCCAAACGTGTCGTCCATGATGGTTCTGTTAAATTATCAGAGCTGCGACCAGTAAGAGAGGGTCTTTGACCACTTGGGAGCAGCAGAAGCATCCGAGCTGAAGATGCCACAAATAATAATTACTGATCTATGTTGCAACAGTTAGTTCATTTACTATAATCTGAAACAAAAAAAAGTTTGCAGATTTAGAAAGTTAAAAACTAAAACGGTCTTTGTTGTTTTCCTCATGAAACACGACTTAAAAGAGTTTATTCACTAAAAGATTAACAGTTTTCTGAGTCTTTTATCTCGGTTTGACGAGGAAAAATCTGATGAGTCGGCATATTTCTACTACTAAACCACAATTAATCTTTTTTAAATTGATTTCTGCTTTGTTCAGCAGCGTTGTGTTTACCTGATTCTTTAGGCGTTTTCACAGTTTTTTTTTTTGATTGATTTGAAAGGTTTGTGTGAAACAAACAAATCTGTGCATTAGTCTATCTGAAAAAAACAAAAATTAATTAAAGGAGTAGAATTATGACTCTTTTTATAAAACTAGTTCTGTAAATTTATATACCAGTAAATTTATACGAGTTCAAAGTAACAAAGCGTTGAGGAAAAAAGGAAAAGATTAGTTAGACTCTCTTTTTTTTTTTTGGAAGCAGTGTTAATTGGAAAAGACTGAGCAGTCAGTATCTTACCTGCTGTGGATAACCCAAGTTTTGTCTTTGTCTCCAAACCGACGTTGTTTAAAAAGTTATCTTTAACAGGTAAGATGTTATTTGTTCATAAACTTTTCAAAGTGTTCAACTTCAAGACTTTAAACTATCGTTTTAAATTTCTAAATGCTAACTTTCATAATAACCCAAAGTAAAACCAAAAACTGTTAGCTGATGTTTTTTGTTGTTGTTGTTGAAACAGTGTTAAGTGGAAAAGACTATGAGCAGTAGGTATCTTACCTGCTGTGGATAACAGAAGTTTGGAGAAACATAATTTAGTTACAATTAGTCTGATGATCCAGTGACTAGTTTGAAAGTCTTGCTGACGACTTAGAATTGCTCAAGTCCAGGGATATTCAACTGGAGGCCTGCGAGCTGGAAATGGCCCATGGGTGACTTCAATCCGGCCCACTTCATAAAAAATAATAATAATAAAAAAAAAAAAAATGGGGTGGGGAGGGTTCTGGGTTTGGGTTCTGTTTGTTGCATTTATGATTCAATGCAATAAAATAAACAAATTAAAAAAATAACAGATCATGGTAATACTTGGTTTATTTACATAATGACTTTAAGTGCTGGATGTCCGGCCCCCGAGCTTTCAGTAACTGTGGCCCCCTGAGCAGTTTAGTTGAAGAGCCCTGGACTAGTCCTTATATTTTCATAGCAGTTTTTGTGGATGCAATTTAAAAAAAAAACCCTTGCGTCGCTGTCAGTTTTACATTTTCATGTTTATTTACATAAACTCCAAAATATTTTTTGCAAGTGAAAAACAGCAGCAGCTAGCTGTAGCCCTGTGCAGCGTGAAACCCTTCAGGGAGGAGTATCTTATTATTTCTGTCTCAAAAACCACGTAAAACCAAACTTAACACCCATTTAAAGGTTTATAAAGTCGTGTTTGCGAGAACTGACTTGAATTTTTTGAGGTTTAAGCTGTTTTGAGAGAATTAAAAAAAAAAAATTGGTGTTGCCTCTTTAGCTTTTAGCTTGCCAATCTGCTTAGTAACAAACTTTTGTTTCCAAACTGAGCTTGTTTAAAGAGTTATCTTTAACAGGTAAGATGTTAATTGTTCATAACATTTACATAGAATCCCACTACTTTGAATTACCGTTTTAAATTTCTAAACGCTAACTTTCGCAATAACCCAAAGTAAAAACAGTGAGTTGATACTTAGAATCAAGGTTGTTACATTAATAGTAATGCGTAGTAGTTAATCACCGCTGACCAATTTGTTTATTTATTTATTTTTAATCTACTTCTTTTAACAGAGACACAAACACATCCACACAGGCCAGAGGAACTTTGTGTGTCCCATCTGCTCCAAGCGCTTCAGGGAGGCAGGTGAGCTCCAGCGCCACCAACGGGTGCACACCGGAGAGAAACCCTACCAGTGCCAGCTCTGCCACACGCGCTTCGCCGAGCGCAACACCCTACGACGGCACACCAAACGCAAGCACCCGTATCACCAGGCCGCCATGGAAATGCTGAACGAGAGGCGGGACCGAGGAGGAGACGGGGGAGGCGGTGGTACAGGGGGAGTGCAGGAGGAAGAAGAGAGCGCTGAATGGTACAGCTCCGCCGTGTCAACCCTGGATAACTCCGAGTCAGATATGGAAACCTAATGCTTCTCGCTAAAGGGGAAGGTACAGTGCCTCATGGGGGTCATGATAAAAAAATTCAATTTGAGGTCGTAAAAGTGTAAAATCTGTCTTGGTTTAGGTTTTCTGTGAGATTTGCTAACAGGACGTCAGTTTGCTTCAGGATGTAGCATCATTTGGGTTTAGTTATGTTAAATAGTTGGACATGTTCCTTATTTCCAGGATGAACTTCTAAACAAATCGCATCAAGTCATTGAATTTGATCTTAGAATTTTGGATTTCTCATATGAAAGTCAGAATTCTGTGGAAACAAGTCTGACCCAGTTTACACGACAACGATCCAATGAAAATGGATTTTTTTTAATCCCATTTCTATTAACAAATTTACGCGTAAACTCTCTAATTACAATCTCTGTTTACACAGCGATGATAGAAGTGGAAAAGGTGTAATTCCCTGGCCACGCCACTAGTTGGTGCTATGTTTTTTGAAACGTGAAACTCTTTAAGTGCACATGCGTTAAAACAAAAACGTTCTAAATGTTCTAATGTTTCTCTCACGAGAAAATCGCCATAATTAAAGCCCAGGTGATGTCCAAAATGAAAGCGGTCTGGGGAAATTAGATTTATAGATTTATAAGAGTCAGAAAAACAATACTCTGGTATCTGCTATTGTCGATAGTTTCTTCTTCTGTGGATTGTAGGAATCCGTTATGGTTTGTGTCATATTGCGCATGAGCCAGGGATTCCCTGACAGAAAATATCTATTTTTTTCTGTTTCCACGACAACGGACACCGGGACGTTTTTGAACCATTGCACACTGGAACCCGTTCTCAAATTGTGTCGTTGTCAGAGAAAACATTTGCTATTTTTGTGTAAACGAACGGTACAAACGCAACGAAACTTCCATTTTCACCACAAATTGTTTTCTTGTAAACAAGGTTTCAATTCTGACTCAGATCTCAGAATTCTGACTTTTTTCCTCAAAATCTTCCAAACAATTATCAGAATTCTGAAAGAAAACATTTGATGTTATTCCCCCGTGACCCTAATCCTCTTCCGTAGAGTACAATTTTGCTTTATGCAGAGATGTTTCTTTTACAATTCCAACACCAATAAACAAACAAAAAATGATCAAATGATGGAACAAAACAAATGGAACAAAATCGTAAAATGTGCAGTTTATACTTATTACTTATAAATATGTAAAACATGTAAATGTGTATGAACGCCAACAGTTTTTTCTCCAATATTTTCAACCGAAAGAACAAACTCATTCATCTAAATCCACTGTGTTTTGGGAGTTTCAGAAGTTTTTGCGACGAGTCCACTAAAGCTACGTCACACTGCAGGTCCAAATGCTCAGGTCCTTTTTTTTTTCTTCAGACCCGTTTTTTTTTCTGTGGTCATTCACATTATAATTTACATGCCACCATCATCAAACTCCAGGGTAGAGTTGCGTTCGGGCCGAAAAAATCCGACCCAGCCCGAGCTCATAGGCATTTTTTCCGAACCCGACCCAACCCGACTAATTAACTGTAATTAGAGGCCCAAACCTGGAAAAAAACAAAAAAAAAACTTTTTTTTAATAAAGCTTTTACTGCTTTTGTAAGCAAATCAGTTTGACATTATAGTTTTAAAAACGTATTTAAAAGAAAGAAAGATAAAAGATTTCTTGTTTATTAACAAGTCACCAAATGGATTTTAACACACAAAACGAATAGCCTAAAAAAAAAAATCCACTCTAAAGATCGGATATTATACAGATGAACAAAAATATTTTTAGAGCAAAATTATTTGAGAAAATATAGAGCAAGGCTATTTTAATTGAACGTGCTGCTTGCTTCGGCTTTTGTAGCTTCAGGTGCTGCAACTTCTTCCACCCCAGATGAGAGCAGGGTGCGGAGCAGGACGCGCGCGGCTGATGATCCCGTTGTCCATCTGAAGCGTAATACTTTTTTTTTTTACCTCTTTCAACCGGCCGGTTGGACCTGAGTGTGCACCTGACACACATCAGCAGGTTTCACTGTGCTGTCTTTGTAGAGTGAGTTCTCCCGTTTTTAGCTTTTGTTTAATACTTTCCAGCTCCATTATGTCGCTTGTTATGGATCAATTGCAAATCCTTAGATGTGTGATAAGAGCAAAGGGCGGGCGGGGCCACATGCACAATTTAAACCGCATCAAAAGCCCGAGACCGACCCGGCCCGCCCATCAAGCACATACTTTTGACCTGACCTGGCCTGAATTTTGGGTCGGGTCGGGCTCGTGCCAGAAATCGCAGCTGTACTCCAGTTGAGGAATTGTCTACGATCCTGAAGCGACTCGCATGCACAGAAGACACGTCACATGCCGCACGCTGCGTTTATGGAAGCAAATATTGATGCTACACATGTTAGCATGTGTGTATCAATTCAGAAAATGTTGTACAATCGGAACTGATTCAATTGTTATCTGACATGATTATATCGTCTAGTGTTTATATTTGATCTTGCCTCTTCCCGGCTGCTCTGATGCAGAATTGCATTTCTGGAACGAAAGCGACAAACTGAAAGTAAAGGAGAGAAATAAGCTGATGTATTGATCCTATCAGGTTAGCATTGATATGGTCCAACTTTAACGTTGGTTCAGCGTGTTGCTGGAGATTCTCAATAGTTTAAATTAGTGGTTCCCAACCGTGGTCCTTGAGGAACACCATCCTGCATGTTTTAGTTGTTTCTCTGCTCCAACACACCTGATTCAGGGGTTAAATGGTTCCTTAAGTTTGGCAGAAGCCTGTTAATCACCTTTCATTCAAATCAGGTGTGTTGGAGCAGAATAACAACTAATACATGCGGGATGGTGTTCCTCAGAGGCCACAGTTGGGAACCACTGATTTAGGGAATGGAAAAAATAAATAAAGCAGCAACTGGACTTTTTCCATAGGTTAAAACGTGTGATGTTCCGAGCTTTACACTGAATTATTTGGTGTCAATATTATCAACAGTGGATCGATCCACATACCAGTACCGCATTGACACAAAAGTTGGATGAAATGCAATGACTGTTCAGACTGAGGTCACATGGAAAAACATCAGATATGTATGAAATGTATGTACGAAAAAGACCTGGTTCAGATTTGTCTCGCTCAGACTGTCATAAAAATTTAACATGGGTCACATATGAATAAAAAAATGGATTTGGGTCTCGCAGTGTGAACGTAACCTGTGGACTTAGCAGAAGTCTGTCAGAGGACATGTAGCCTCTGAGTTAACTGAGACCTTAAACTCATGAATTCAGTGCAAGGCTTTCGATCTTTAACCTGGGTGAGTCACTCGCCTGATTATATAGTAGATGGTTCCTAAACCCTCTTCCCACTTCTGGATCTTTTTTTGTCTTTTCCTCCGATCGCACAGAAAACAAACCAAAGCAACATCTTCTGAACACATACATAAAAGTTATTGCAATATTCTTCATATGGCTTCCCAAACTGAGGGAACGAATGCTCACGACCTCAAATTTTATTTTTTACCCCCAAGGAGCGCCATAGAAAGGTGCTGTCAGGTGGTTCACATCGACCTCTGGTCTAAACTTTAAACGTTTAAACACTAGAGCACTTGAAATATTTATTCTGGTTTTAAATGGCAGTGTATTTATTATGAATGTATAGAATTCCCATTCCTGGTAATGGCTCAAAAACTATGACCCGGTTTAGATTTCCTTTGTCAAAAGGGTGCATTTTAAGCTCAAAAATATCAAAATGTTAGCGTGCACCCGTGAAGTTGCGTTGCAATGCAATCTGTGAGAAACCCCCTCCCGAAGTGCTCAGACAAGGAAGATTTAGTGGAAACAAATCCCTGCTGTAGTTGTATATAGATGAAGATGACTATTTGTAAAAGCTGCACTTCTGCACTATCTCATCCGGAAGATGAAATCTTTCCTACGGTCAGAGACACTGTGAGTCGTTTGCACTTGTTTCATTTGAGCTTTTCACTTTTGTTTTTACCTTGTGAATGATTTTAATGTAGCTGCAGCTTTTAATTCACGTGTTTGATCCAAATCCTGTATATGAGTTTGACCAAATGTTTATTCTAACGTAAACACTAACATATTCAGATTTAAAAGAAAAGAAAAGTCATTTATGTTAACTTATTAAAATAAAGTTTTCACAACTATTAGATGTTTTTTTTTTTTTTTTTTTTTCTACTTTGTGTCTTTTTCCACTCAGCTGCTTGAAAGAATCAATTTATTTAATCCGGCTTTTTTCCTCAAAAGGATTTTAATCACAAGTAACTCTTTCCGGTAATGAACACTGGAGCAGCGGTCCACATCTCTCTTCTAATTTAGGCTAATCCTTAGACTATTTTCTTCACTACATTAATCACCAAAGAGGAGACTTTGCTTGGATCTTTGTGATAAAACAGATTAAGACTCGTGTACGGTTGGCCACTCGGACCGGCTGCAGGGAGTAATTGAGTTAGTGAGTTGGTCCTTTGGTTTATTTATTTTTTCACTGTGAATTTTCCACTCGATTTAAACCACGAAGCCTAGCAGAGAACCGGGCTCAAGATAAGCTTTTTTTTTAAACGCAAAGGTTGGAAGGGCCTGATTGGGTTGTCTCTTTTCTCAGCCGGGTTTATTGCTCAGACAGAGACCGTGTGTTTGGAGAAAAGGTTAACCAAAGCAGTTTCTGTCATCAGAGAAGGTGTCACTGGACAGAGTGACTATTTCTTTTTACAATAAAACTGGAAGAAAGAAAAACCTCAACCCCTAAATATGACATTTTTATTACTTAGAGCGTCTGGTAAAATCTAATCTTAAACCAGTATTTATTGCTGAGTGGCCTGCTTTTTTATGGCCACTCGTTCAGATAATCAGAAAACATCCAACTGAGAGTAAAAATGTATTCTAAGAAGTCATGGCCTGGAGAATGGCAACAATTTTCAAGCACTAAAAATGAATGAATGAATGAACCATCCATCCATCCATCCATCCATCCATCCATCCATCCATCCATCCATCCATCCAATAACTTTACCAGCGTCTTCCTTTCGGGTTGCGGGGGTCTGAATGAATGAATGAATCATCCATCCATCCATCCATCCATCCATT